ATGAAGATCTTTAATGGTTGTGTCAGGTTTTCTGTAAGTCAAACAACAACAATAAGGAAGCATCTCACTTCAGCCAATAAGGATTATTATATAATCTTTTAAACATGTTTCAATATTGGCCTTGAGACACATAGACACATTCTGAACTATTTGGATTATATTTAAAAGACAAGTTAAACGTATTGGTACTAGGATGTAAAATGAGATGGTGCTGAATTTGTATCTAGTCAGATCAACAGATGTCAAGGTCAGAAAGAATTGTCGTAAGATGGTCAAACCACAAAACTGCAATTTAATCTAAAAGGTCCAATATATAAGATATCTACTGAATTAAATAAAAAAGTCACCTTACTATATCATCACACATTATGTTGAAGTGCTGGCTTCTCTGACAACAATGCAGCAGCCAGTATGTCGTCCTATTCAGCTTTGATTCAGTGTGGAATTTATCCTAACTTAGGTAGGCCGTTGACCTTGGACACCTTTTGGTTTGCCAGGCAAACGGCAAATCAACAGCTGTTGCAGCGATTAAAGAAAGTAAGTGAACTGGTTCAGATGTAACTGATTCTACCCGACCTAAAAAGCCTCAGCATTTTTTTCTTATAAGCTTGACGACCTGAAACCTAGGTAAGTATTGGGGATGCTTTTGAAAAATAACAGATGAAGAGCTGGTTAAACACTGAAGCTTCAGTGTCCACGACATCGCAACCTGCACATAGACTCTGGAGAGGAGCGGGCGGGGAGAGACAGCTGTCTTCAGTCTTTTGAAATCGGACTGCAGTACTCATTTTAAACATTAGGTGTCAGAGATAGATAGATAGATAGATAGATAGATAGATAGATAGATCGATAGATACGTTATTGATCCGGGGGAAATTCGAAGCATCCAGTAGCAGGTTACAAGTACATGACATGAAACATTTGTTTCAAATTAAACCGCAAAACCGACGCCCCCCCTCCCCCATAATATACAGTATATTAAACTGAAAAAAAATTTAAAGAATACCTCTAGATGAATCAAACTTAAACTGTGCAATTAAAAATAGATTTATACAAGAAATGTACATAACCCAGTTACATAGTGTTACATATTGCTCCTTTAATTCTGGATTTTGTTTTTTAAATAAATTGCATTGTTCAACTTACCTGTAGCAGATGGACTGCAGTCGACCATGTTCATCCATGTTTGCATTACATTAAGTTCGATGGGTTGATTCTCAGGTTTTAATGAAAGAGATGATCAGTCACACTTTTCCCCTTTTTGTAGCAAAAAAACAAAAAGAACAGGATGAAACATTTGTTCGATATGATAATATAGTTATTGACGAAAAATGTACTGGAAGTTATTGGGTAGTTGATGAAATACATTACAATATACCTTAAAGCAGTACTGAGAAACGCTAAAAGACTATTATAATACTGTAACATTGTTGTGATGTGATCCTCTGGTTATTCTCACCACACATTCCTTCACACAGGCGTGAGGAGGGAGGGAGGTTTGAATGAATAAAAGTTACCAAAGGCTAAAAGCTTTGCAGCAACATTCAATAATCAATATTTTGTGCCAAACTAATGATGAGGGTGTCTAGAGCTCAAACAGGGATTAGTTGCTGTGTGAGAAAAACAAAAACCTGACCTATTTTGGCAATTAAATTTTGACTTTGAATAAAAAATAAACTGCTGTGAAAGTACATCAGCATGCTGGGTCCATTTGACGGCAGCCACTTTAAATTAATTCTTTGTTGTTTTTATTTGGTTTAGTTCAGTGGGAGGGAGGGCACATAATGCTACTGGAACAGAAATGACTTTTTTTTAATCCTGAAAATAAACAAAATTATTCAGCTGTTAATGTAACCAAATGATTCTCTGCCAGTCACCCCCCCCCCCCCCAGGCCCTTTACACCTCCCTGTGTGAGTTTGCTGCATAGATCGACAGAATCTCTGCTCTGTGCCTGAACAAGGCTTTAAAGGGAAGCGTGCAGGATCCAGCAGCAGCAGCTAGAGATACAGCACATAAGAAGATTTTTTTTCTGAACAACACATTCAAAAGTAGTTCAGGATTCCTCAGCATACCTGCCAACCCACAGGCCTTACAACTGACAAGTACACCCAAAGTTAGCATTAGCTTACGTGAAGGTGCTGAATCAAAACAGGAAGCTGCTCTGATTTTGTTATGTTGCACATCCTTTTATAGGTTAACTATCTGCACCACGTCTGGCTTCACATTATGTATCTGTTCTGTTGTGTGGTAGGACTGAGACAAAGAGGGAGAGTTGGGCTTCAGTATTTTCTCATAGTTGTCACGTTGCTCTTATATGAATCAGTTGTCAGTCTGTCTTTTAATAAAGACTTATGACTCAAATATTCACTTGAAATGCTTTTGTATGAATGCGTTACAGTTCAAGGCCCACTTAGTCACGAGTCATATTTTTTAACAGAAAATCTGTCTTTGCCTCAGTCACACTTAATTATTCCAAACTACACCCAGGGACAAATTATCTAAAGTGTTGTTGTCCTACAAAAAAGTGCAAAGTGACACAAAATTAACAAACGTAATGCACATAATGGCTCCTACACCCAGAATAAGGGATTTATGTCTGGAGTATAAATCAGTTGCAATAGGAACTGATATGTTCTGATGCAATAGGGTCTCACAATAGGGTCAAATGACAAAGAAAAACGTTCATGTGACCAATTTAGAGAACCAGCCACGACACACGAGACAAAAAAAAAAAAAAACGGAACATGCTGTTGACGTTGTGAAGTTGCGAAATGGTGAAAGTTTGGTTGGATGTTTCTACAGAAAAAACATAACGTTAGGATGAATTTGATTGGATCGTTACGCTACGGCAAATCTTTTAATTGGTCAAGTATTTAGTAAACGACCCTGAGTCATCAGACATTTGAAACATATTATAGAAAGAGAAAATATCAAAAGTAACAAAGTGCCTAGTGCTGAGCTAAATTAAAAAATGCTGCAAACATTTAGTGGATTTTAAAACATCAAATTGCATTGAAATCATATTCTGAGCATTCAAGCCGTGTTAGGGTCCTTTTCCTTTTTATTCAATATTGGAGACAAACGTTCAAAACTTTTAGCTTTTCCTTTCTTCCGCCAAGAGCCATAAAATGTTAATTTCACATGAGCACAGATATGATGCATCTGCAGGCTGTAGGAGAGGTAAACACAGGTGAGGAAATCAAGGATACCAAAAACAACAAATCAGTCAATCACAGCCATTGTGTCAGCGATGCCACGAGGAATGTTTTATGCCACAGGGAGGTCGTTAGTGAGAAAATGTTTACAAAAAGTTCAAATGGTTTTGGGCTACACTAACGGATGCATTTGTATAGTCAAAATATAGTATAGTATAGGACCAGAGTCTTTCTCGCATACACAATATTGTACGCAAAACACAACCACACTGATACGTTCTCGTTCTTTGGTCTATAAATAAGACGCCTCTCTGCACATGCCATTCTGAGGAAAAGTGCAACGATGTGCGAGTGACTAACTGTGAATGAAGCACTTGATCTAATTTTGGATTGTAGCCCTGCTGAGGATGAAAAGGATCGAACCTGAAGACGTGATGGAGGAGGAGGGAGGGGGGGAGTTGGAGGCAGTTTTGCATAAATCCATGTTCTGAAGAGTCAAGAGATTAAAAAAAAACACTGACTATCACATAAAGCACTTGTGATAATGAGTTAATAAATTCAATCATCATTCAAGTAAACATAAAAAACAAGATCTAACTCCATACAAAGATGTGCTTACAGTTAATAAATTACAGCTTCATTTTAGACTGTTGGTTGGACAAAACAGGATTTTTGATGGTATTTTTCACTCTCTTAACATTACAGAAGTATTGGACACTAAAGCATGTTTCTTGACCTAATACATGACATGACAGTATACTTTGATGAAGCATAACTGCTGGTGTTAACATTGAAGATCAGGAGAGAGGGCCGACTTTTTATGGATTCTGTTCTAGAAAGGGGAAAGCAATTACACATTATTTCCTTTTCCGTATTTATATGCAGAATGTATACAAAAACATGTTACCTTTTGGGTAAATAACAAAAGACTCAGGTGTTAACTTAGTGATAGGTGAAGGACTTACTTGAGTGACTCCAATGACCCACAGCCACAGAGGCATACTGTAACTTTAGCCCATCGACCAGTCAGTTTAGGAGATAGCCTTTTGTCACAAAACAATCATTTCAAACGTCAATACAATATCAGTAAAAAATAATACTAGCCTATATAAATTAGAAGTCCTAGCCCTCAAACATTAAGTGGTTTCTTGTGTATAAATGTTCTTTGGTGGGACTTGTCTGTTGGACAGTAACGGTGCTGTGAAAAAGAAGTCTAAAGTCTAAAGTCTTTTTAATTTGAAAATGGTGAAAATTGCACAAATAGGCTATGTTGGCAGAGAAACGTTGCCAACGAATAGGCTAAACGTATCATATCGATGTTGGACTCACATCACCAACCAATGCAAAGACTTGAAACTCACATGTGAATCTGACAAAGACATTTCTTAAAATGCTGGAAAAAAATAGCTTGATTTTAACATGTGACCTTCTAATTTGGGGTACTTTGAACATTAATGTTTCCATGACAACAGGGCTGACTCCACCTGCAGAAGAGGATCATCTAAAGTTGGATAGTTTACACTATTTCACAAGGTAATAGATAATCTTTTAATTTTATCATCACTAATATGTGCAGGGGAAAATAAGGTCCCATAAGACGACCTATTTAAAAAAAAGATGACTGTAATAATATTTGATCAGTCAAATCCAGAAGGATCTTATTGATGAGCTTTGCTGAGAGTTGCATGTTCTCCTCTTCAGAGACTTTAAGGGTTAAACCACTTCTGCTCTTTGAAGACGAAATGAGCATCCAGCCCATCGGCAGGTCTCACAATCACACTGTGGCTTCTATTCATTAGGCTGCCATACCCCGTGTCATGTGCTGCGGTTCGACTCCCCGCTGGGAACCCAAGGCGGCGGCGGCGGCGGCGGCGGCGCGGAGGTCGATCCGCCGGCTCTCTGTCCCCTCCCCTCGGCGTCCCCTGGCGACGCGCGCGGCCACACCTGCATTAAACGGGGGAAGTCCGTCCGGTGGAGAGGCAGAAGAGAGGGACTGAAGGAGGGCTGACCGAGGCAGCACGGAGCACCTTCAGCTGCTCCTATCGCGTTTTACTCTGAGTGGAAAAACGCTGATCCGGAAAAGGTGAAGGCACGAAGGCAAAGGCAGGCAGCGATCGGGGTACTGAGACTTTGTCACCGTGGACACACAGGATGAGAATGAGGATTAATATCGAAGTAGACCGGAGCGATTCGGAACAGGAGAGACAGAGTATGATCAGCTGAGCGCACAGGTAAGATCAGGCTTCCAATAAAACAAAAAATAATGAATCCGGGAAGGAGCTGCCCGGTTACAACTTTTTTCTTTCTTTTTCACTTATTGATTTCCTGACTCTCTCTTTTTTTTTTGTTTTTTGCATTTAAAACTTAAATGATTTATATGTTAGCCTATTAAAAGCGTTTCCCTTATTCCACCAAATCAGACACAATTGCAACAATACTACATACTATAGCCTACAAGAGAATATAAGACCACGAATTACGGCAGCAAAGGTTTGGTAATTGATTAATCCATTAGGCTATACTGTTAATATTAACATTGAAACTGGTCTCTAATGTACAATATACAAATTTTTTTTTAGCTGAAAGTAGATTATAATGTTATGTATTTTAGAGCCACCTCTTTCTAGCAATTCTTCTGGCATCTTAAGTTTTGGGACTTTATGGAGAACAAATCTATAGAATCAACAACATGTAGTATATTTTGTTAACAAATCACTCACTAACCCTAACCATAACAAACTCGACATATATGTAATAATTTAAATATAAGGCACGAGACTGTCGACTTAGACTGTTAAATCTATTAATGCCTTTTTTCAGGGACTTTCAATTGTCTAAAATGTTACATTTGTGTATTTTTGGACTTCCCTGAAAGAATGATTGAACTGTTTTGCTCTCATTAAAAACAAGGAAGTCAAACATTGGTATTGTATCACACCCTAACCTTTGCACCAGCTGTTAGCTGATACTGAGTGTGCTCACATGCAATCATCAGTTCTAGGTACTGGAGGGTGGTTGGCTCGTACTTAGAGGTCAGCTTTGCTGCATTATCATAAACCCCAGAGAGAGAAGGTGTTGTCAATACTGTATTCAAGTTATTGCAATGTGAACAGATCAATAAACTTTTCAGGCATGACCCTCTGTGTCACTTTGCTCTCATAGATCTGTCCTCACCAATCCAAAGATGAAAGATGTGTCATGACAGGGGGCTTTTAAGAAAAGGTTAAATGCTGTTCCTCTCACTGAACCAAACATCTTTTAAGACAAGGGTTAACTCTCAAAAAACAAGTCAGGCTGAAAACAATATGTGATAGCCCTCGTTGGAAAATAGCCTGAAGTCAGGACAGAGCGCTGGATGAAAGAACAACAAAGTGAGTCGGTGACTGTGTCCGTGGATGACCGAGCAAAGTGGAGGAGTCATATGAGAGCTCTGTGTAGGTGAGGTGTGTGTTCGTGGCAGTGTATAGGTGTGTATGTGCGTGACATGGATGCCAGACAAAGAGTGGAGTAGAGAGTAGGCCGGAATCTTAAATATCCCCGAGAGGCGTTTTGTTTCACAGTCAGCAGAAACACAGAGACGGCCATGAACCACGTCGTCGATAGCAGCTGTACTGACTGTGTTCACCTCTGTCCCTGGGCTCTAAAATGTGTCCTTCAATGAGCATAATCAATTAACTTAAACACATTCAGTATCCTGACCGGTTTGTCTTGTGTTGTTGTAGCCTGGTTCAAACTTTAAAGTGCTCTGTTTTAAATGTTTCGAGTTTCACATCAACGCTAGCAGCTCATTAATGGCTTCATTAAGATATTTCTCTTTAAATCACTGTTGTTATTGGATAGCGGGGCTGGATAGAAAAACGCATGGGAACCCCACACTTTGTAGGCTTCAATCTCTGGAGAAAATAAATGTCTTGGGGGGGGGGGAATCACGGCAATGCCTGTGGCCAAAAAAAAACATCCACAGACGGCTCGTTTAAACGGCCCAGTAGGTCTAAGCCCTCTCTTTCTAATACAGCTTCTCATTCTTTCTTACAACAGAATGTTTTAAACTTTGGTGGAGTAGAAACCAAACCTTATAGTAACAAGAGAAGCTCACAATATCTCCAAATGAGCTTGTTCTTTACAGCCAAGTGTAAATGGTAAAGACCATATTTGTTGTAGATGTCATGGCATGCCTCCTTGATGGGCGGATCATTGGAGTTCATTTAATTCAACCAACAGGCCATCAACTTTAGACCAATTACACAACTGTAGTGTTACATACTGAGTAAGTTCTAAGAAACTAATTAAGCATCTCTTCCTTTAAGAATTTGACATTGTTACGTAAAATATTCTCACAGGTTAAAAGGTAAGTTTCTGCCGCAGCACATAGAGATGTCAATTCCAGCAGTTAACAAATATAGACAGCCAGACACCAAGCCAGCCATCTCATTCATTATAATCATTATCTCCAGACAGCATGTATCAAATTAGAATGTGCTGAATATCACCTCTGAACCCACCAGAGAAAAGGGGGGAGGGTTAAAAAACAAAGGCTGAAGAAAAAAAAAAAAGGAAAAGGTAGGCTCTTTCCCATCGTCAGCAGGAGTGAAGTAGAAGGGGACCAGCATGGTAATTGGTGATTTGATTAGCGTTCTAATATTGCAGCTGTGCACGACCGAGGTTAGCAAACTGCTGCCCAGAGGTTTTATTATTTTGTTCTTCTTCTGCAAATCAACAGTGATTCTCCAAAACAGGGAGTCATTTTGCATGTCATTCTGTTATGTCCGCCGATATTGTGTTGTGTGGAAATGTAGACTATTAGACGGAAGCAGAAATATGTCATCAGTTAAGGGGCTGAATGAGGCCCACATCCTGTGCCAGCCAAATTGAACTAAACCGGGCTATATTTATGTCAACAGCAGTTTGTTCCTACACTGAGAAGAGGAAACTCTTTTTAAAAGAGGGAAGTGCTGTATGCTTTATTAGATAACTGATAACAAATGATGTTGTGTATTTCAATCATTATACTTTGTTAACGGGGTTCTAGTGTAGATTGTTTGACTGTACTTGACAGTGCTAGAAGCAATAAGGGGATTCAGACACCCCAGTCTCACTAAGAATACAGTATAAATGCCACACCTTGAGAAAAGGTGCAGCACACTGTGTATATGTGCTTGCATTCATTATGCCGCAGACACTGTGAGTCAGGCTGCATTACCTGGGGCCAGAAGGGAATCAGTGGCAAAGACAACTTACCCCTTCCACCCTATGCACACATCTCTCTTGCCGACACCAAAGTGCCCAAGCAGACAGCCGACCGACGAGATAAGAAGTTGGGCAGATAAAGTAGCACTGGTGGTGAGACAGTGGAGAAGAGCGAGGCAGCACAAAGTGAGGAAGCTGTGGAAGGCTGAGGTGATAAGGAGGAAGATGAGAACAGATGGGGATGTGTGTGTTTGGATGTGGATAAGGTGTCAAAGGGGCAGGTCTTGGCTGCTCTTGGCGGTCGGGACGATGCTGAGCCATGAGCTGAGAAATGAGCTCATTCAGAAAAGGTGGAATTAAACCGTCCAAGAGGAGCCAGAGAGTAAGAGGGGGAAATTGAATTGGGAGTGGTTCTGTTTGAAGTCTACAGAAAATATCAATGAAGCTTGAAATTCAAAGTCTAAAGCAAAGTCAGCATGCAAACATGCTCGCTATATGGCTGCTGAAAATGCAGTGTTCCCCCTTTTTATGTAGCATATTAGCATGCTGGCAGCTCCCAATTAGCACCGAATAGAAAAGGAAAGTGGAGGACATGAATGTCTTGAACGGTCATGATCATTTATTCAAAACCACAAATGTTTTTTTTAGAAAAGTGAAGACAATTTGTGCCAATCCACCAAATGGGTGTTGAAATTTTTTCCTATAGGTCAAACATTTGACCTGCTGGTGCTACTTAACATGAAGTCATGTAATCGCCATTATTTTATGGATTCATCCTCTCAGGATTATGGATACCCAAACAAGGGTTAAAGAGCAATTCATCCAGAGCTTGGAGAGTTTTACTACTAAATGGAAACAATGGACGGACTGACTGATACATCATCTTTGAGCAGTCACACTAGTCCAGACATGGCGCTCCTAAATGCCATTAATGTTCCCCTAATGGTGCCATTTCAACAGAAGTTTCACCAGAGCCGTGAGGATACATCATCTTGGTACCATGAATATGCCAGGAAAAAGTTTGCCAATCCACGGTGTATATGTCAAGAAAATTAAAAAAAGATAAGTGACTAACTAATGTCCATAAACAAAGGGATCAATGTAAGGATTCTTCCTCTGGGGAACATGAATAACATGACATTTCACAACATTCAATCGAAAACTCAAAGATAGTCTCGATGAAAATGATTGACCGACGAACTGAAAGTTAGTTATCAATCAGATTATTCTCACAAAACAATGTATGTCACCCTCATGGTGACGATAAAAGAACGCTCAGGGAAATATCAGTGACTTCAGGATTCATGGGGAACATGGATCTCTCTAAAAATGATTTTACGAGCAGTTGTTGAGATATTTGATCAGATGAGTCAAACTTTGTTCCAGTGGTGGCCCTTAAAAAAGTCAGGGATCACCAGAGTCATTGGGATTCATTTTCTGGGCAGCATGTATGTCCAACATTTTCATGGCAATCATTATAATGTAAGTACAAAGATTCAAAATTCAAAGCTCAGTCTCGTGAAATGGAGCACTTGTGATATGAACGAAGAGATGTGGTTGCTGTTGAAAGGACATAAATTGTAATTGTATTGCCAGAATAGGTGAAGGTATAAGAAGGTAAAGCCTCGGGCTGAGTTTACAGTACAGAATGTGCAGCTGGTGTAAAGGTCTTTCTTTCTCTTTCTGTCTTAGGTTTTCCCTTGTGATCCCTGACAGAGCGAGGACAGTGACACTGACTCAGCCTTTGTCTCCTCAATGTTTCCGGACAGAGTTAGGCGCCCTGGGTGCTGCTGCTGTCCATTGTGACTGCAGAGGAGAAAAAAAAAAAAAGATCCAGCTTGTCTGCATAAAGACCTATTCAGCATCCTTTCTCTTTGCAAGCAATACCGTATACCCCGAGAACAGCAGTGAAGTCTCAGCACTATCTTTAGCACCAAGCTTCATTCTCAGCCCCCTCTCCCCTATCCCACTCCCTCAAGTCCTTTTCCCAAACCCAGCTTCGGCTTCAGCCTAAGCCCTCTGCCCCATTCGGAGTCCCAGATGACAGCTCGGAAACATCCGTTACCCTCCCACTCTACACGAGCCTTCTTTCCTCTCCCTCCAGCCCCCGCGGCGCTTGGCACTGATGCCCATCACATAGACAGATGGAGCCGACCCTGACCCCTCTCCTCGCCCGTGGGGACGCCAACAGAATCAACGCCTGACTAGAGGAGAGGGGGTGAGTGAGAGTGTGTGTGTGTGTGTGTGTGTTGGGACAGGAAGGAGAGTATTGCTTTGTCACCACAGCAACACATCGCCCTGTCTCCTGTGGACTCTCCTTCAGGCCAACCCAAGGCTCTCAGCTGAAAACGCAACACAGCAGGAAATTCGGCAGCAGGACCAGAAGGAACACAATTCTCCTCCCTAAATTTGTTGCTGACACATTTTTGCTTAGATTACTTCTTTTTCTGTGTGGTGAGAAGGCAGGACCATTGTCAAAACTCTAAATATAGGAAAGAACATTTGAGAGGAACTGGAAAGCACCAGGTGACGGCTCAATCCGCAGTTTTCTTAAAGCTTTCCCAAACACACAAAAAAGGTTTCTTTCTGAGCTCAAGACTCGCAATCCTCTGAAAAAAATATTGTTAGTTTTACTTGCAAAGGTCTTTTTTTATTGGGCTTCCCGAGCCTCGACAACAAAATTCCAGTCCGATCTTCTCTGGATGTGCATGCCTTTTCCAAGATGCAAGGCCTTGGCTGACATCTACTTTGTTTTCAAGGAATTTGCAGCTTCATTCTCCTGACTATTTCCACCTGCAATTTTTTTTACAAGAAACAACATTTTTGGCTGCTACACTTCCACTGGATGTTGTTGATGTCTTTCAACCCACTGAGCTGACCTGCATTCTGATTAGCCTTTAATGCCACACAACCAATTTGAAAGGGACCGGGAAATCAACAATAAAATGAGACACTAATGGCCCGGTGAAATGAATTCAGCCGGCTGACATAACAGAGGGGGGAATTCCAGAGTCCCAAAGCTTCCCAGGTAATTGGAGTGCAGTATACTGTGTTTTTTTTTACTCCAAAGCACAGCTCCTGTGGTGACCTTGCTTGCTGACAACTCACAGGGAGGTAGCTATAGAGTGGGAAAGAGAGGGAATGATACAGTATGTCCAAGGTTTCCAATTATCTTTGGGATTTTTCACCATTACTCTCAGCGCATTATCATAACAGAGAATGTTTGAACTGTTAGCCTCAAACTGTATTCAGTCATTTTAGTTTCGACTTCAGGGCTGGGCGTCCACGGCACACTCATTATTCCTGTAACTTAAATTAAATCCATCAAGGAGTCTCTTCTGAAAGAGCATCCATTTAAAATAAATTGTTTTAATGAGCCGTAGTGCAGCTTACTGTAGCCTCTGTGAGATCCTGCAGATGGTGAAATATGCTGATATAGTGGTTGATGAGTAAGATACAGCCCGGTTGGCCGTGAGATCCCTTTGATTTTCATGGGTCTGTATTGTCAATCTAAAACTCTTCAATTAGTCGAAAATTATGAATGAAGCAGATCAACAATAATGCTTGATCTGATTAATTCCCCTTTACAAAAGCTAATTGGATAAACCATATCTTGTACGTTTAATTGTTGGAGTACTGTAAAAGCTCACAGCTGACTTAAAAAACAGGAGTTGTTTAGGGTAAAGGTGTAGAGGGCAGAAATGCAATCTGTGACAGATTGTTTATCACTTGTGGCATGTTTGACTTTACTCTGACTGCATGGTGATTCTCATCACTACAATGTTAAAAGAAAGTATTATAGGAGAGTAGAGGCATCAGCTCGTTATCCATATAAACTGACACGACTTTACTCTAAACTTTAAAGGTTTTCAGTAATGTTAGTTTTTTGTTAGTCACGATTTAGCTGTAAGTACCCGAGTTAACAAATATCTTGTTATACCTTGAAATGCTTTCCCTCTGGATTTGACTGCATTGTCAAATCCATCCATTATCTATACCGCTTATCCCTCTCGGGGTCACGGGTGTCTGGAGCTAATCCCAGCTCTCATTGGGCAAGACGTGGGATACAACCTGGACTGGTTGACAGTAATTCACAGCAGGGCTCACAAACAACCAATTACACTCACAGCTATGGGCAATTCAGAGCCACCAATTAACCTAACTTAACGAGCATGTCTGTGGACTGTGGGAGGAAGCCGGAGAACCCGGAGGGAACCCACTAATGGGGGACTTTCTTTCTGTGAGGCAACAGAGTCATCCACTGCAACATCGTGCAGCTCACATGGTCAGAACCTTTTATGAAGACGATATAAATTTATTGCTGGGACTAAGAGGCAACCTGGAAGTGCAAAAACCTGCAGTTTCGAGTGTCCACTTGAGGCTAGCAGCACGAGCCTTGGAAGTCACACTTCCACACCACACTTCTTAAATGCACATATTTACAGCAGAAATGAACATGTTTGCAGCCTGGGTCAAAATCAGTTTTTAACTGAATAGCTCATGTCTTAATAGGCACACACTGTACGGGGTGTGCATTTAAAAAGAAAAATTGGGATGAGTTATTCATAATAAGTGGCTTGGCTGCTCTGACTGACAGTTGGGTGCGTTGTAGCTGTTTGTCAGGAGACTCAAGGCCCGCCGCAGTTCCAGCTTTTAGCCCACAACTAGGCTGTTGTATAAGTCTGCATTTTTAATATGGTGACTGCCATCCATGGGTCTGCTTCAGTAACCAATGAGTAATGTCATTGAGACTATGTCCATGTTTTAGTCTGAGGGTGCACTTAACACTATCGGCAATCTGCACAGCGCCCAAGCACGCTTTACTCCCGAAGTCCAGCATGTTTGTCTAGTGTGAGTGCTCAAGCAGGGCGCACTTCCTTGAACCTGGCACGGTTAGAGGAGGTGGGCTACGGACCAAAATGGCAGCTATTGTGAATTCCGCATTTAAGAAACTAAACTCCATTCCGGTCGACCTGCGCATTGTGGAGAAGCCAAGTGATGTGGGTAAATTGTTTGTCCCTCTGTAGCTGTTTTTCTCTTATAACTTAAAAGGAGGCCAGTGGAGAGTGAAGCAGCAAGTCAATGCTTTTGTGAAGATATCTATGAGGCCAATATGACACGGCTGATATGACAGAGTCTAGAGGTCGTATGAGTGATAAAGGAGGAAAGGCTGACACGGTCCAGTGGATCTGTGCGCCTACTGTACACGTCTATGGGGATAACAGACTGAGATATACTTGCATCGTTAAGGGGTTCGATTTCATCTTTATGCTCTTTGTTGCGTGCCGTCGCCTCTCGCTCTATCATCTGGTCGTGAAAGAGAAGATAATATTTCTGACATTTGTACTGTATGAAGGGTGAGTGATAACTTCAAAACCTTGTGATGAGACAGAGTTGAACAGTGTAGGAGCACCACATATATTGTTTTTGTCACCTTTACACCTTTTGGCGCTGCCACTTCAGACACAAAAAAACACACACACACTTCAATTACTGTGCTATTTCGGTGGTGCTACCTGTCAATGACACACTGAGCTCGAACCAGCTGGGATTAATTAGTGCCTCGGCAAAACACACACGCCCACACTTACAAATGCACCTTCATCTCGTCTTTCCGTGTGAAATGTACACAAGCACGTCACCAGAGAATAAACACACATCATGCGCTTTTCATACCATTCATAAGAGAGTGTTCGACTCTCCGGAAAACACACACTCAAAGACACACAATCATCCATCAGTTATAGGATGTGAAGAGCCTCCTGAACAGCGGGTTGCCAATAAACACCCCTCCTACTCCGCTGTAATTACCTCACTCTTCATTTCGCACCTTGTTGATGCACCTCATATCTCTCCGTGTCATGGTGTTACGGCTCCGCCTCAGCACAAGGCAATACCTGTCCACACTTATAAGAAATGTGATCTTGCATTTAGTTTATAGTTTTTTTTAAATCTAAACAGGCAGAATAAATGTCATGAAAATGTATGTCTGTCACAGCACTTTCTGAAGGTGCCACAGTTGCAAAAAAAGCAAAAACGTCTGAATTTGAGATCATATTTTGCTTGTTCAGTTCGACGAAATGTATTATTCACAGCAGTGTTTGTGTTAGCAGAATCCACAGCCGGTAAAGACAAGCTGTAACTCCTTGTCGGCTTCTGTTGAGGTTCATGTGCTCATGCCTCGCACTGCTGACTTTGATGGAAATAAAGCCGCCGACAGGTTTTAAAAGACAAGCTGTCAACAGCCATAACCTTGAGGATGTTTGTTTGTGTGCGTGTGCATGCATTGTATATGTTTACATGATTGGGTTATGGGGGGTGTGATGAGGTTACAAATACAGAAGTGATTGAATATGCTGAGGTAAGGTAAAACATGGAGGAAAGGAGGATGTGGGATTGAAACAAATGTCAAAGTATGGGATCAAAACTGACAGGTATAATGATCCTTTTGTTTTATATATATTTATGACAGAAACAATGTTTAGAAGTTCAACTATGTAGTTTGGACAATGCATAAAATAGGGAGAAATTAAGGTATGTTAGATTAAAGGCACTGGAGAGTTCAATTAGGAGGATCTGTTGAGTGAGCATGTGTGGGTGTGTGAGGGCGGTTCAGAGGCAGAACATTTACATTTTTGCAAAGCTGTGTCAGTGTGTGTGTGTGTGTGTGTGTGTGTGTAAGGGAATTGTTTATAGGAGCAGCAGCTGATGCTTGTTTTATTCAAACACCTTGGTAGTGGCAAGTCATTATCATAGTGATAATGAGAGATAGAAAAAGGTTTGCCCTCGTCAGCACACTAAGTTTTTCATACTGTCAAAACAGCAAATATGTGGGTTTAGAGAAAGTGAGTGTGTGTGCAACTTTGATATGATGGAAATGTATTCACCACACCCACTATCACTGTTTGAAGTTGACAAAAAGATGCACTCTCACACCCGTTACCCCAACCTAAGTGATGCCAAGGTGCTCTGGAAAAACTTCACAACTGGGAGTTAGCACACACGAGACTTTAAAGCTAGCGGGGAGTAACTTTTTAACTCATCCAGCGCAGACGAAGGCATGTACGACAAACAGACTCTGAGTCTGCATTCTCAAACAGTTTGACTAAAGAGGGTTTAAAGTCCGACGGTTTGTATTCATGTAAAAGCTATCTCTGTGTAACTTGATGAACTCAGCCACAGTACACATAAAGTGGCTCTTTAAGCTACCCTATGTTGCCAGTGTTCGAAGCTCATAAACATTGTAAAATATTTGGAGGTTTATCAGTTCTTACTGCAACAGAGCATATATAGAGTTATGTGAACAATTGAGTTTGAATAGTTCAAACATGTTCAGCCTCTGTTGAGTAATCAATATTCAAAGTTGGGGGAACTGTATTGCCTGCAAACCTGAGGGTTTTTGGTTTCAATGGGAACGTCAGGCTTTAGGCGACTGTTTGTGGCTGATTTCAACATGTTACATATGGAAACAAATTTACCTATGGGGACCGCCAAAAAACATCCCCTCACGCTCCACCCTCAAGAAATCCTTAAATACTCACCTCTCCAACATCGCCAACAAACTCTGTCTCATCCTCCTTCTTCATATAAAGAGGAAACTGAGCAGTAGGACTCTGGGAGAATACAACACATAACTCCAGTCTGTGTTTTTCTGGGATTAGTAATGGTTAACAGGAAGCCTGCACCTATTTCTGTGCTTTCTATGATTATTGGTCAGGAGCATTAGGCTATATGTGCATTGTCCTGTTACCAAAGACACAGCACTCTCTAAAAGATAAACAAGTTCATTAGCACAACAGCTAACTAGCTTGATTGCTGCTGAAGCCAGTCTCCCTTCTGCATGTTGTGTGACTGACTCAGCATTTGTTTTTAGTGGCATTTTGATAAGTCACAACACCATCAGTTCATAATGTGTTATACATTTTTCTAAATTTGTGGGGAACACTGAGCTAAACAACTACTTCAGATGGTCCGTAAAAATAGACTCACAATCGCTGGCAAATAGAGTACCCACCCATTAGCAAATAACAAACCAGCAGAATGAGCAGAATGAGAGAGCACAATCAAACATCGTAAAAACCTTGTTAACATCTACATCTGTGTTCTCTTCCAGGTGAGTGCAGCCAGCCTTCAAAACCAGGCCGGAGTTCAAAGGAGGTGCGGGTTGTTTGATTTGAATGTTAACTCTGGGAGGAGGATTTGCATCCGCAAATGTGTAATCATTTACACAGGACCAGGATACCCGCCTGAACATTGTGGACAGATAAAACTACAATATACTGAGCTCAATCAATTGTTAAAGTAAATTCCCAGTTTAAATGAATATCCATATTCAAGCCAAGAACTCCAATTTGAGCATTTGAGGGCATTTTACCCAGCAGAACTTTTTGAACTTTGTTCTGATCTCGACACAACTGTGGTAACTGTTGGTGAAAGAAACAAGGGTTGAAGCGATTATCAGTTGGATTCTACCTTCTGTGGTGGTGGCGTCCTTATTCAGCAGGGTGGGAGCGGCATCAGGATGCCTGAACTGGACAGCTTTTCCCCCCTGAGGGATCCCAGTGGCTCTGAGCTGGGCCTAAACGGTCCTGCAGACCCACTTCGGATTCAGCACAGCATCCTGGAGGAGCAGGTGGAGCTGTGGTGGTTCAGAGATCCCGGGAAGTCTCTGCTATGCTACTGTGTGGCCGTACTTCTGATCCTGGGCTGCGGGCTGGGCGGAGTCGGCCTTCTCTCCACCACCACCAGCGTCTCAAGTGAATGGCGGCTGGGGGCAGGCACGGCCCTCTGTCTGCTTGCTCTTGGAGTCCTGCTCAAACAACTGCTGAGCTCGGCCGTGCAGGACATGAATTGCATACGAAGCAGGCAGCGGATCGACATGCTAAAGAGCGGCGGTTTATCGGACCTCCTTGTGGTTTCTATTACTGGGCTGTCATTGTTGATCTGTGGTGGGGTTCTACTACATCTGGCCCTGGCTAACCATATGCCGAAACCTGGCCAAGCACTTAATGACATGTACATCTCTGGAGTGGTTTTGCTAGCAGGAGGAGGAGCTGCCGTTGTAGGTGTTGGAATATACTCCATCGTGGTTATTCTTCTTGAAAGGACAAGGCATGGGCGAAGGTTGGTGGACCGGGTTTTGAATGTCTTCACCGTTTCTGGACACATGGAGCGTCAAGCTCGCAGAGAGACTACCTCCAGTCTGGCTAATCTCATATGAGATGTGAAAAAAAGTGTAACTCTTCTCCTTGTATTCACGACAGAACATTATCCTCGTCTAAATTACAGCGGGCATCCAAAACATGACAAGAAATCTGATTAAAACAAGATTCATCACTTTAATGCTTCGGCCAATGAAAGTATGTTTTAAGGCAAAATGGGTTGAATTTTAAAACATCTGCTTTCTGAAGATATGAGTAATAAGAAATCAAGTCACAGTCCTGAAGCAAAGATAAAAACTGAACACTGAAAAAGAGTAACCACACAGCTATGCTCACAATGCAGCTCAAATTGTTCCAATTCAGATTGTTTCCTTGACACATGAAAAGATGTAACATTTTTGAAAGTGTCATTTAAGAGCTTAAATCAGCGTTTTATTTTCTGTTCTGTAACATTTACTCCACTCACAAGGGACAAATGCCAACATTTTGGTGCCTGGGGTACTTTGGCAGGGGCAGTGTGCACTGGGCGCCAGCTAAAAGAATGAAAGTAGTAAAAAAAAAAAAAAAAAAAACTGTTGATATGAGTGGGTAAGTAGGGAGGACTGAAATGAAAAGCAGAGAAGAGATGTTTGTTCACAACTGAAATTAAATCTCTGTTTTTGGCTTTGTTATGGGACAGGTATAGCAGGCTGAAATTGAACACAGATGGACTGTATATGAGCACAGCAAGTATTTACATAGTTTTCTCCACATTTAAACAAAGTATGTTTTAAGAGTTAGAGATATAAACCCTTTTCAATGCACACTGGTTATCGGGGTTATCTGCAAACTGGACTGAAGCACATTGGAGATAATTTATCGGTTTGAAACATGGATTCTGTCACACTGTGCTTGGACCAAACTTCTGATCACAACCTGTCTGATTATTGTAAGCTAACATTGATATGAGAATCAACTGGAAGGCTAACACATTATAGAAAGATTCAGAATGAGTCATACAGAGGGGAAAAAACATGTTTGAATTATCTGAGGGATTCTTTGAACAAGGGAAAGCTACAATTATTGGATTAACTTTTATATGATCTGATATCTTTCCTTAATTTAATAATAATCATAATGTTTGACTGTGGGGTTTGTGACATACCATCTCTAAATTTAAGATTTACTTTAAATTTCTGTTTTTACACTCTGTAAATCATGCAACACACACACAGGCTGAAATATACACATGCACAAACAGGATCCTATGGACATGCAGTAATGGAGAGATGCCAGAGTGAGGGGGCTGCCCACAGCAGGTGCTCCTGAGCTGATGGTGGGGGGGATCAGAGCCTTGCTCAAGGGCACCTCGGTAGTGCTCTGGAAGTGATCTGGCACCTGTCCAGCTACCAGACCAACTTCCAGATTTGGCCCGCAACGGAACTTGAACCGGTTCCCAACCCAAGTACCTACAGACTGAGCTACTGCCGCCCCAAACTTTAATGTAGGCCTATCTGTGGCTGCCTTTAAACATTATACAAGACAACATGATTGTTGGCTATCACAGCACTTTACAATGTCAATTACGTTGGCCTTTTTTTGTGTATCAACACAGTACTGATTTAACTGTTTTATCTTTCAGCACCTGCTTTTATCGATATTTTTGATATTAACATTGAATCATATTTCTCTGTAATGTAAAATGGACAGTCATGGAATCATGAATCACCAATCTCTTCTGCTCTATTCTTTTTCTTTAACGCTTTGTATGGGTTAATGTTTTATAATATGCTTATTCCATAATGTTGGCAACATTTTCAGAGAGCTCAACAATGGCCGCACTCTTCTTCTGTGGATCTGGTTTTCGGAAGTATTTTCCCCATTCAAACCCTCCATTGAACTTTCAGAAAATCCTTATGTCAATATTTTCTTTCCTGAAACCAACCAACCACCAACCCAAATACTTGTGACTATTTAACATTTAATTTGGCACAAAACAAACAATGTAAAACTAAGAATAAGGCAAAGGTACAAGACTTATGTAGCCTACAAGAGTGAGGAACTAAGCATCCCCTAATCCACTGCGATTCCAACAAAAATGATAGAAGGTGCGCCTCTTTCACATTTATCATCGTGTTTATATTGTTAATACTATATTGTCATATATTATTGTGAGTTCATATAAACTGTGTTGAACTACCTTAAACTTTAGTGGTAGTAGCCGACAGTTGAAATTTGCGGGAGCGGTAAACATTTCCATGGTAACAGTGTGCTCCACCAATCAGAGATGTCGCTGTGACACTCAAGGATTGTGGACAGTGAAGTTTGTTTTTTCCTAGAGATCTTCAAACAAGACGTCACACTCAGGTAGCTTGTGGTAAGTCTACCTTGGATGGTTATGAAATTACGGCTAATAATCAAATTCATATTGAGAAAATGAATGGGAATTTTACTTCCGGAACAACAGAGCTCCATAAAGCTGATAAATCTTCCTTCCACCATCCTACCAGAAGGAGTTAAGGTACAAGCGGCTGATTGGACTCAGTGTAGCTTGCATTTTGCTAGCTAAAGATTCAAATACCTTTCTCAAAAAACAGAAGATAAACAGCGACTAGATCTGAACCAGAGGTACGCTAAAGACTCTCTCGCTACCCTGAAGAGTTGATGAACATGTCATTGTTGTCTCAAAAGCAGACCATCAAAAATTAAAAGACGCAAATAAACCTTAATTGAAAGTGTAAACTTCATTTAGAGGTGGTTTCCTTAACAGGCAGAGCGTTATTTGTTCCAAACCAGAACTGGTGAAGTGTTCATTTGAACAAGCTAGCTACTAGGCTAAAAAAAAACTCAGATTAGCTTGAAAGCTAACAGGCTAGAAGCTTACCAGCTAAGGCAGGTTGAACAACAAGGCTCTATTTTTTGTATTAGATTCTATGATTACTAACAAAGTTGCCATTGATAAGGTGGTGTTACAGCGGTACAGTAAGTGGGCATGAGATCGATCTTTCCCACTAGTGGCTAAAAACTGATACGCTGCTGCAAGCAAGCAAGCTAGCAAGAACGCAAATGATTGTTGCTATCTAGCCTTGAGTTTGGATGGTGAACGTCTCAGTTGATTTATAAAATGTGAAATGCATTCAATAACAGGATTTGTTTTTCCAAGACAGTTTTGGTAATCTAAAACCATGAAACTGGGGACAGATTTTTAGTAAAAGATAGAGGGTAAAGTTATACCAAAGTAATATTGGTATGTTCTTTTAATAGTGACTTTTATCATAAAGATCCCTCAAACGCTTTAGTGACAGGAAAAAGGGCAGATCATTTCTTTATTCCTCTGATTTATGCAAAGATCAAGTTCAAGAATCTCAGTGCACTGACATGAATCTAAGTGTGAAGCTGCAGTTTGGAGAGAAAATGTAGTTTTAGCACTTATGAATGATTAGAGGTATTATTATCTCAAGATTACAATCATTGTCATTTCTTATAAAGCACAGAGGGTGAAATAACTATTTGGATGAACAAAAAAAAAACCCTCAGTGAAATTAAATCCATTACATCAACATGGCCAGTTATAGAATTTCAATGTGCTTGCAAAAGTTTGGACAGGATTGTCAATATGCTTTATCATCTTCCACTAAATAGGAAGAAGGGAGAAGCTATATGCTGAGAGCGCTGCATTATTATCGAGTCTCATTTGTTTCCTGAGCGAAAAAAGGTCGTTTGTGTAGGAATAAACACTATTAAGAAAAACTGCACAGTGGCAAATGAAGGCCATTTGTTTTTTTAAAAGCCTTTGAGAGTCATTCCTCACACCGCCTGGCAGAAAAAAAAAAAACCTCACAAAGTGTCCCGCATTGTGTCTCGTTTGTGTGTGTGTATGTGTGAGTCAGTCACACCTCTTTATCTGTCTGCACATACCCACTGCCTTTATTGCCTTGAGACAAAAGAGTCACACAGTTAAACATTGTTGGAGTGATGACGGACAGCAAACTGACGGCACAATGCACAAGGCAGTGGCCTGCAGGGGCTGGCATAGACTAGCACCACTCACTCTCTAACACACACACGCATGCATGCGGACACAAAAAGAAATCATGTTATCCTTACTTATATGAATCTGTCTTTTGACCCACAATATGAAGTCGCAAAGGCAGGTTGGGTATCCATGCATGACAGCAGGAGGTGAGCAGAGCGAGGCGGGAGGCAGGTCTGATACTGAGCAGAAAGAAGTCTGTGTGGGAGGACAGAACTCAGCTTTTCTCTTAGGCCAAGAGAAAACTGAAAACGACTTGAACCAGACAAAATGTGTTCAGTTGCAGCTTACTCTAAATGTAAAAACATTTCTAAACAATTTGTCCCAACATCAGTGTACTTTGAGTAACTGAAGAGTGTTGGAAGTATAGCTCTTCCTCGATTAAAGTTTTATTTTGATGGATTTTGGCATTTCAAATGCAATTTCAGGTGCAACATCTAAGTTTCATTTGAATGCTATTAACCTGCTGAAGGCATAGTTCATATTTTAATGTATGTATTTAAATTACTCTGGTTTGTACTGGTATGAACTTGTGACTTACCTTTAGCTCTAACATGTATCTCTTGCAGTCGTTGATTTGAGAATATTTTGAACAAACATATTCTAACACTTGAGCTTGATTAGGTTGTAAAGAAACACTCAGTTATTTCCTCTATTTCTAGTCTGACTTAAATGGGAAGTTGCCGAGCGTGAAAACTCACCAACACTGCTTTGCAACTCTTAAACTTTCAGAGAATGTTGAATGAAAACTGATGTTACATTTGACTAATATACTAATAAGTAATAGGGCTGGGCAATTAATCGTGATTAAGCCCTACTAAGTAATGTTCCTGTGTGGGATAAATGATGTTGAATATTGGGTTTCAGGATGTTTTCCTCTCCCTCAGGTTGTTGATGTGTGACATTTCATCCTAATTCATCAACAACATTTTGTGTAAACTGTTTAGTTAAAACCCAGATACAAAATGTTCCAACAAATAAGCTAAAAAAACAACAACAAAGTGTTCAAAAACAAGATACAAAAAAGTATTTATTTCCAAATATATCCCTTTGCTTCCTATGGACACACAGTAGTTGATAAATTAAAGACAACACATTTTCACACACACTTATTAACAATCCCCATGGTGTCTGAAAGTTGTCCCCACACCAGTCATAAAGGAATGATTGTAAAAGAAGGTTTCGCACTTGAGCAGCGGAGATCCAATAAAGCCGACACATGACTCCTCTTTTGCTGTTGGCAGTGCCGCTGAGCTGAAGTGGTGCAGTGCATTCACAACACAACCAGGGAGTGAATTACTGACGACCTATAGAGGCCGGGACAGGTTGACGTTATCATTGAGAAAAAAAAAAAAGAAAGAGATCAACATTTTGTCAATATTCCCAGATTCTGCAGAGAAATCCCTTTAGGCTGTTTTACCTTTGTGATGCCAAAAACAAGCCTCCCTCTATCCCCAGGTTTGTCCTTCACACTCTGCCTACAGGGGCCTCAGCAGTGAAGAATAAACAGCTGATAAAAATATGACAAAAAAAAAATCTGCACGGCGCTCGTTCCTTCAGAGCTTCAGGCTGATTTTAAGCAAAAGGATGAGGTTCAGGCCCCGTGGGAGAGCGTCCACGGTATTATGTTACACTGCAGACGCCTCTGACAACATTGTGCCGTATTAATCATTGATGTGGTCGCTGGTGTTGGTTTCAGGGCACTGGGGATTAAATTCACAGTGCTGAGGGTGATGATACATAGACAATTCTTCTTTTCTTTTTTTAAGGCAATAAACATAATGTAGAGGTTCCGATAAAAAAAAAGCATGCGCCTTTGAGAGGGGTGGAGATTAACAGCATAAGTAAAAGGAGGCCGTATAAGTATAAAAAGTGGATGTAAAGGAGCAGAACAGATGAGGCAGTAAGACCCCGACACTACAGATAAAAGATGCTAACAGATGAGCGGCTATTTGGTGTAGCTGAAACTTAGTCCCACATCTGCAACATCGTCGCCCTTGGAGACTTAAATAATCACAATTAGCCCTCACATGGGCAGCACATAACCTGCTGGTTTACACAGTGCAAAGCTACACACAAAAAAATACACCCAAAAGATAATGCTGCAAATTCTATTCTTTGTCATTAGTTTGTCATTTGTTCTTTCTTTGAATGTCTTCCCCCCCCCGTGTTGGCTCAAAATGAACCTTGAGGGACATGTTATGTAACAGAGGAGAAGTGATGAGGATTAGACCGTGTCACAAAGTCATCAGTTAATAATTCACACATTAAAATGTTTAGTCGGAGTCCTGAGGAAGCCTCGAGAGGAAAAAAAAATAAAAATCACAGGTCAGGTCACAAGTGGTGCAACAGTCTCTTCAGTCTGAGTTGAAAACGTCTTATAGGAAAGGAAAATGTCTTGTTTTTGTTTGTGTGACTGGAAAACAAAAAAAAAAAGTAAGGTGTCCTTCTGCACTTGTCCTCTGCTGTCCACTGCAGCCGGAGAGCTGGAGAGGAGAGGAGATGAGAGGAGAGGAGAGGAGAGGAGAGGAGTGGAGAGGAGAGGAGAGGAGTGGAGAGGAGAGGAGAGGAAGATAGACCCAGAGAGAGAGAGAGAAAATATCCATTCGTCTAGCAGCATCTGTGCCCTTTAGTTTGTCCGGAGCTGGTAATCTGCCAAGAAACGAAACAGCAGAGCATTAACACAGCTTTCTTCCCCTCGTCGGCCCTTCACAGCACATCACTGCCAATATAAGCCCTATTAAATCCCTCAACAAGATTTACACCAATATGAGCTATAGTAGCATTCTACTGAATCCAATTACAAATATTCAACACATCCCTGATATAAATACTCTATTTTCTACAGCTTATGACTCGCAAGAGTCAAATAAAAAGAATCTATTTTCTAAATGTGTCTTTTAATATATCATGTTTAAGATTTCACTACATGGCCACAGCCCTCACTTTCTACAATACTAGTTCTTGTCCTATTGGTCACGGCTGTTACCATGGTTTCAGATGGACTTATTAAGTTACAAGTAAGGGAATAGTCAATGCTACAGCATAGAACAGTGTGGTAGATATTTGTTGGTTTCCCAATCTCTCCTCGAGGTCAGTAACCTTTCGTCCTCGGTTTAGAAAATCCTGATTATTAAGATTATATTGAAGATGTTCTATTAAATGAAGTGTTGAATCACTCTGGCCAAGTGGGGTGACAACACAGTGACTATGCTCGTGGTCGAGTTATGAAAACTTTTGAATTGTCAGTTTTGCAAATTGAGTCTTTGGCAACACTTCTTAAAAAAATAAATAAAAATAACTAAAAAAAAACATGCAAAGGTGAGATAGTGACAGTGAGTGATGTGTTCCTCATCACTAAGCAGCAGTGGGTAAACCAGAGAATGAAGGTGGAGATAAGGCAACCTGCACCTGATCTTCAAATCTCTTTGGATAAAGCAGCTAGTGTTAGCTCTATTTTAAGGAAAAGATGCTTACAGACGATATAAAACGTTTTCAAACACGTGAAAATCCAAAGAGAAAGAAACATGTTTGACGTTTAGATGAATGCAAATTATTGTCTAATACAATCGCTGCAAAAAACGCAGGGGTCATCAAAGGCAACGATTCAGAGAGCTATACGTGAACCTTTGAAACAGCCTGACGCACAAATAAAAAGGCCTTAGAAAGTAGCCTTGTAAGTGTTTGTACTGCAGTTCAACCATGTGTAGAAAAACTAAACCCATGTTGTTGTACACACCATACACAGGCAGAGGCTTGATGATTATATTTAATTCCATAAAGTCTTCTCAAGCTGCGGTATGATGCTAACTGCTTCGTTTCTGACCACTGACCGTCTGACATTTTTGCCGTCTGTACTTGATGCTGCACAGTACGGTTTCTGAATGCCTGTTCATCGCTCATGAATAAGTCAGAATTGTTTAATCAGTGCGAGTGTGTGTGAGTGAAATGTGAGCATCAGCGTCGCGTCTCGTCTCCCTCCCTGTGTTGCTGATCGTTACAATAAGAGAGAGGTGATAGTGTCCTCTTCAGTCCCCCTAACTTCATCTTCATACACTTGCCCTTACTTACTCTCTCTCTTTCCTTCTTCTGCTCGCTTGCTGATATCACAGCGAGGCGATAGTAACCTTGGCATTCCCTGAGTGCCACCCTGGGAGCCGCCCCGGCACTTTTAGGCATCGCTCAAACCTCCGCAGCCCCACGACTCGTTCCCGACACGTCCAGGTAATGGATATGATGGATGTTACGGCGTCAGGTTCATTCCTCGGGCGCGTTTGCAGTTACAAAACTTAAGGATTTCTGGCAGCGGTCCAGTGGAGATACCAGACTTCAATCTCCATATCATTTCCATTTGTCCCCCCCCATTGAATGTAGTGGGCTGCTTGAGACGGTTTTCACCGCACTCTCATCGATATGCTGTCACTTTTATATGCAATGATGTGTTATCGGTCTTAAAATCAAGCAAGTGTTTAAGTCAGAGATGTCTTTTCTTCTTTATTTCAACATTATCCAGTGTTTAATTTAAGATTAGAGAGGTTGATAAAAGTAGTTAGCTCACAAACTTTCAAACATCCCTCTGTGCTCGTCGCCCTTGACTTTGGCAGACGTGATCCGGGACGGTTCACTCCCAGAAAAAGAAAAAACTAAATACACAGATTAGCACTCCTAAACAAAGCAGTGCTTGAGTTTACAGCACTCCAGTTCACATTTGAAAAAGTAAGACACAGAGGCTAACAGGCTAGTAAAGTTTCCATCCTTGGCATCCTGTGGGGTTTCATTGGAATTCCCTGAGGATGTAACTCATGGTGATAGAGCCAAAGTAATGGATATGACGGATGTTATACAGCTGGGTTCACTCGTAGGGCACAGGCTGAATAGTGTTTGAGAAAGACTGATCCTCACGCTGCTCTCCCACAGAAAACATCATATTTAACCTCTTGGTAACCTCCGCTTTGCTAACGGGTTTGGACTTGGGACGGGGAAAGAAGCAAAACAGAAAAACTGGAGGATAAAAGATCCTATACGATGTGGGTGCTGGATGTTCATCAGTAATTAATTCATATGGTTTATGATGTGTAAGTACATGTAAGCATGCTTTATATGGTATGTGCCTTTCTCTGAGGGAGAAGCCACAGTCCTGATTGGGGATGGGGATCGTTCATTTCTATTGATATTGATACAATTATCAAGACTCTTTAACGATAGGAGTCCTTATCGATACCACACTGACCATACTTTTCTATTATTTAGTGGGAAGACAAGACGGCAACACGTACTGATAAGGAAATGGTTTGTTTATCATTTAAACGTGCTTTGAAAAATGCAGAATTGGGTTCCTAAAGAGAAACTGGTTTCAGACCCTCATCCTAGTCATGATGAGGCAGACGAGGTGTGTGTTGAGATTCTATCTAGAGAAGGAATACCTGAGACAAACACTTCTTTGAAATGAGGTTTACAAGGAATAATATGGATCCAAGACGAGTCACAACAGGCTTCAGACTTTAAGCAGCACAATCACTAAGCATATGATGTCTTACAAACGAAAACAAATGAATCCTAAAAGCAGTCAAGTATGTGAAACGAAAAGTGTGTGTGTTCATAGATGTTTAGGTTTATAAGTGTGTTTGTTCTCACCTCCACTTTGTGTGATGTAGCGCACCCATGGTAATGCCTGGTAACCGCTCTTCTCTATGATCTTCAGGTAACGCACCTTCAGGACACACACAGGTCGAATAAGGCGTTTACACTCGTTCATGCACAACAACACACAACAACATGAACTGTATACAGCCTGTGTGCCTTTAGCTCCGTACGGGCAGCCTGGTTTTGCATATATACATTATTTTCTTCTTAAGCTAAATAAATATGTGAAAGGAAAACCTAAATCTTGGTTAGTCTAAATTAGAGCCAGCCGATAAATCGGCCAGCCGATAACAGTGGCCGATATTAGCATCAAGTGACTATCAGTATCTGCACATTTTTATCGCAGATATGTGCCGATATTACTAGATTTAGTCAGTAGTAAAATAGCATTTAATTTGAGTTTCATTGTATTACACGTGCAGTTCTCTTTCTGGCTGTCACCAGCAGAGGGCGCTATATGGATTACAACAAGCATAATCGCTGTGACGCACGTACATGAGCAGTACATGAACTGTACGTGAGCAGTTTCACTTACTTATGTTATACTGACATATCTTTTCCACAAATGTTTGATAACTGAATTTGAGGGATCAACGCAATGCATGTGTATATCAATATCTATCTAATACTACAGATCGAACATAGATCTAAGAAAGATATCAGCAGATATACTGGTAACAGATTTTCTCTCTCCCCAATGGTGATTAAGGTATCGGCCTCAAAAATCCCACATCGGTCCGGCCCTAGTCTAAATGAATACATGCCTTTTATAAAGCACATTTATAGTTTCCTCTGCAGTTTCAGCATGTGTAAGACAACAGTAAAAAGAGGACTTAGGACTTTTTTTAAAGGACGCTAATGAAGGGTCCTACCTGAATCCCAGATACAGTGAAATATGGGATCTCAAAGTTCACAGTGATCGGTCTCTTCGCCTCCAACTCTTCCCCGTCCACACTGGGTAAACTGAAGTGAGCCCGCATCATGTACTCCTTCCCACCCTACACATGAAAAACAGAGCAGAGGAAACAAAGGCCACAAAGTGGTTACTGTAGCTGGTAAAACATTACATTCGAAAAGGACGCTGTTCAGAAAAATCTGCTCGAGTTCTGTCCCCAGACGTCTGACTCCAATTAACACAAGGATGTTTGTCCGAAAAACAAAACAAACTTTATATTCATGGCCATTTGAGGAAACTCCCGAGTCATGTTAAGGTCAATCAGATAGCAATTTATGGGATGTAGCTTCAGGGTAAATGTCTTGGCTACAAACATAAGTAGCAGGTTAATCATTTTTCATGCAGAACTTGTGTAATACGTCACATGAGCACTGAGTCTGTACTTTGGTTTAACTTTCTGCAGATCAGTTACCATTTTGTCGAAAAAGATTGAAAACTCATCAAATCATTGTGTCAGTGCAGCATGTTGATCAGAGTCAGGCTAAGGCTGAAAAAGGCAACATTGGTAGAAATGACACTGGAGTCTGTGGTAACATTAACACAATTGCAAAAGTAAAAAGACATTCTGACATTTGATTTGTCTGGAGCTGTGCTTCTAAAGGACTGAGTATGCACATCTGGTGCAGGGAGGCAGTTGGTTCCACAAATGGGGGCCCGCAACCTTCAAGGCGGAGTCACCCCCCTGAGTTTCCCCAACAGCCTGCAGGACGACCAGGAGAGACTGCTCAGAGGACCTGAGGGATCCCGTCACGGTGGGGTTTAAGGGATTAGAAGGCCTGGTAAATGTTGCTGTTGTCTGTGACATCACCTTTTTCCAGACGTCCTCTTTAAACCAGCGAGAAGAGCTCAGAGAGGAAAACTACCGAAAAGTTGTGCTGGGAAATAAACACAACTGTTCCAACTGTTTCAGATAAGACACGCAGTGGTTCCCAAAGTGGGTGTCGTGAGACACTGGGAGGGGGGGTCACATGATGCCTTCCTAAAATAAACACAAATTTGAAATGACTTAAACTTGCATATTTTACCTATTAATGTGAAATAGTCCTTAAGTGATATTTGTGCTTAAATGAAAGTCTGACTGTAACAATGTAGGCATCTGTTGTTCTCTTTGTAACTAATTATGCTGAAATAATATCAAACATCTGAAGGCTGCTGTGTTTGTTAGTGTTGTTCTAATGTCAGTGTTTGGATAGGCCTAAAAGTGCATGCTGCTGTGTGCAACGTTAAATGCTTTAACCACGTCTAGGGACAGAGAGGATCCCCCCCCCCCCCCACCGTCTCTCACATCGTTATTTTGGGGGTCACGGGATGAAACATTTAGGAACCCCTGTATTAAGGTGCCTGCTGTAATAAGTGTTAAACTTCCAGAGAATTTAATGAACTCAAATATTTGAAAATAAAAAACTAGAGTCAAAATACTTTTCTTCCCTCTTCGTACAGCTGCTGTGGATAAACTTTAGTTTTGCTCTCCTTGCCTGCAGCTAATGACTAAATGTTGGATATCTTGTATAATATTCTCATTCCCTTTAAATGAGAAGTGTGTGAAAAATGTGCATAATTATGCGTATAAAATAGCTGAAGGCAAATGGCCTACTTTAGAAAACCTTTATGAGCAGGACGGTAATGTTTATGGTTTTGGGTTGTTTTAAAAAAAAAAAAAAAAAAAATGGACTGAGCTGAAAACTTCCCGCCTGACGACGAGCGTGTTTATCAGCTTTTTTCTTTTTATCACAACCAGCGATGAGTCATCCTTGTTTCCAAAACTCCAATCAAACAATTCGAGTTGAGAAGGGTGCCTTGAGAGAATACGCAGTTTTATAGGGTCCAAAGGTTGACAATGACGGAGAAGAATGTGACGCGGAGTCATGCTCCAGCTAGATAACCAAATACGTCACAAGTAAGAGCAACTCTGAACCCTCCCTGACAGCCAGATGGTGTAATAATTACTGAGGGATCTCTGAAGTTGACAGATAAAAAGGCAACCAAAGCTGAATTAATTCTCTGAGAGTTGTAAAACATTTCTTTAGAGGAGTTTTTAGCTCGCTGGCAGCAGAGACTGATGTGGAAATTGTGAAAGGGACAGCAGGAAAAGGAGAGCTAAGATTGTTGTGTGTGGAGGGGATGATTTTAATGTGATAAACAGCTGCTGTCTAAAACTTCACATACTGTATGTCAAAATACAACCTTGTTTTTTAAGGTACTTATTAATAGTCAGGGTGTTACCTGTAGTACAGAGCCGGAACTGAGGCGGGTTCTAAGCCTCTTGATGAACCGTTACATCGCACCCACCTGTCAATCATGTCAGCTACGTTCCTAACTATGAATAACATGCATAGTTTTCAAACTCAAAACAGAGCCGTTTTTTGAAAATTCACTGCTAACACAGTGTGTGCCAGTGATGACAATAACTAATCAGTCCTATTTGTTTTTTTGTACCAGGCTGTAAACATCTTAACTGATGCTGTAAAAACTGACTCTTTTGCCTGTCATGTGTATGTGACTTCCGGTGTTCCTGGAGCCTCAAGAGGATACTCGACGGAACTGCAGGATTTTGCACTTCTGCATTGGCTTCATTTTTTCAAAGCCGGAGGTTGCTGCTTGGTTGGTACGTGTAAAATGTAAATAATAGAAAACAGATGTGATGATTTTCAAAAAAACACTCAAACGCTGTATTTGATTAAAAAAAAGCATAAAAGACAAATGTTTTGCTTGCGTACATTCATCATTTTCCAATTACATTTCTCCAGTTCTGGAGTTAAGGGACCTTTGTGAATCACAGTAATGCTGATCGCCCCTTTAAAATCATCAGGGTGAGACAGGACAGTTCTGTTCTGCAGAGACAACGTGTGTTGCATGTATTTTAGGTCGTAAAGAGTGATATTTCGCCACACTTACAGGGAAAGACTTGATGTTCCACTGCACCACATTCTTCTCTGGCACCCACTTTGTGCTGCCCGTGCTCGTCTTGAACTTGGGTGAGTCTGCGTCACTGGGCACTGGAACAAGGATGGACACGTTGTTGGCGGTGGAGCGGTTTTTAAACTGACTTTTAGCCTGTGGACAGTGACACAGAGGGCAGGGATTAAATGTCATTCGAGACCTTTATGATAGAAGAGAAGAGGAGTATGCAGATCCAAAATTAAAATCACGATGGATTCTTTTGATTATGCACACTGCAGCTTGTTCTTTTGAGTCCACACGGCCATCACGAACAGATGGTAATCGGTAATCCACCTGAGAGGTATGTGGCATAAATATCAAATAAGCTCCAGTGAGGGACGAGATGAGCAGAGGACACTGTAGCCTGTGTGTGTGTGTGTGTGTGTGTGTGTGTGTGTTTATGTCATCATTACCTTCACCTTGATCTCCACACGGCTGTGAGAGTACTTCTCAATCACGCTCTCGATCCATATGAGCGGCTTCACCTGTCAGAGAGAGAGACAGAGAAGACAAGGTCAGAGGGGCGAAAAGCACAGAGCCAAACTAAAACACCACGACACACTTCAGCGGAGCGGACAGGAGGGAGAGAGAGAGGTTGTGCTCGCACAGGGGAGACAATAAGTGTGAAGAAGGCTCATCACTGTTCACACAGATTTCAGACACAGAGTGTGTCTGTAAGGTTCACTGAGCAGCCTGTGCGACATGTGTTGAACAGGCAGATAGTTATCTTAAAACATATTGCCATTGTAACTCTGCATTTTATTAATATCTCTTTAGTGTGAGACTTTGGCTCGTCTTTATGTCCTCCATTATGAAGGGTTTATAAATATAGGTTAGTAATTAGGCTGTGATCATTTGAATTCATTGATTGGAGCTTTAAAGAGGTCATATTATCGTATGTCCTTTTTGGGGTTCGTATATTTAATCTATGTACCTACTAAAGTATGTTCACAATAGCTAAAGTTATAAAAAAGTGTCTGTTTTCATGAACTGCCGCTCCATGCACCGGCTCGCTTCTGACTCTCTCTCTAAGGCTCTGAAGTGCCCACGTTCAGAGTCCCCACGTGTGCCAAGTCTGTGTTTACGCAGAATTTTTGCACATAGATGTGCCTAAACATGCACAGGATACATGGAAAACACACTAAAGAGCATATAAAACCAGAAAAAGCATAATATAGGCCCTTTAAACGCACAGTATGTAAAATCTGCTCTCAATCAAAACGTAGTCAACATGAACGGGCGAAACCGACCTGAGGGAGAGAAAATGTTTACCGACGATGTATCCAAGTATAATTTACATGACGTTTTTATCACAGCAGCTCATACAACAACAGAGCGGCAGCTTTCAGTAGCAGCTCACGCTTCCTCATGCAGCAGAGGACGTAACATCCGGGGTTTCCTTGGCAACGATAAACATTTTGTATCCGTCATGGCGGCTGCTGCGACAAGACACGTCCCGTTACAACTTCAAAATGAAGGATTTCTGTGGCTTTAATGACTGTTGGAAATATTTGAGGTAATGTAAGTACTCAAAAAAATATATATAACATAGGTTTAGTAAATTTTTTATTAATTTAGATATTTGAATGTAAACATTGTCATAAGATTCGACATACTATACCTTCAAGTTTTTGCAGGATTCAGTCAGAGTTGCGGTGTTTGCACACAGTGTTCATCAAAGTGTTACATTACATTTGTTGTGTGATAAAGAGGAGAAGAATGAAACCGGTTGTGATGCTGTATCCGTTTACAAGTCACGCTGTGAGACAAATAGTCAGTGTGTTCTTACTGCTGCTGGCCAGTAGGTGTTTTGTGTGTGTGCGTGTGAGTGTATGTGTGTTTTTTGTGAGTGTGTGTCTCTCTCACCGTGGTGTTGAGGCGGTAGGACATCAGCTCGCTCTCGCCATCAGGGGGGATGAAAGAGATGGTGCGGTCGTTCTCAAAGCGTGACAGACGGACACACTGATGAAACTTCACATCCTCCAGCTCCACCGTCTTACTCTTCTCTCCTGACACACACACACACACACACACACACACACACACACACACACACAAAAAACAAAAAAAACTTAGAAATACACAAAAAAAGATTGAGAGCCTCTCACGCAGCCTTGGGAAAAATCAAGGTCAAGGTAATAATGACTGGCAAACATTCACTCAGTCATCAAACACACACACACACACACACACACACACACACACACACGCACACACACTGTGCATGCAGTGTGCTAACAAATCCATCTGCCCCCTAGTTGTCCCACACCTAACCGTTATTTTGCTGCCACACACACATCACACACCATGCAATCTTCTCTCCCACTGACACTTATTCAACTGCCCCACAATAACATCCACACCTGACACACACACACACACACACACACGCACACACGCACACACACACAAAGTAAATAAATCTTGTACTTTCAGCCAGAGAAAAAAACGCGTCTGACAAAGACGCACATCTGTTACTGAAATCACGAGGTGTTGGATTAATTACTCTGCTGGGGGAAAAAAAACAACATTTGGTTTGTTGTCAAAAACTCTGATCAATTGTTTGTGAAATTAAATCCACCTACTCCAGGTTTTTTTGTTGTCGTCTTATTTTTTATTAAGGACATCTTCAAGGACATCTTTGTGCTAATGAGAAACATCACACTGTCTTTCCCACTACATGATAATAATAAGACGGCCAAGGTACACAAACGTTTTGTGTAAATGGAGGTGTGTACAACCTGACAGACTCAGATCATTATACAGTATATATACAATACTTAGATTCTTAGATCCAGACATCTAAGAAGCTAAAAAGTGAATATTTTACAGCTGGATAAATATTAAATGATTAATCGACAGTATGGACAAAAAGTGTCTCCTTCTAAACACATAAACCTTTATGAATGACTTCAGATGGAGGATGAAACCATGAGAGTCGGAGCAGAGGAGGAGACAAGCACATTGTTGTCCTAACAAGTGTATGAGATGCATGTAGGTAAGAAAGTAAGCTGTTCAATCAAGCCTGTGACAGTCACAGATAAGGAACTATTTTGCTCGTATTTTGCTTATAATTGATCTAAGGATGTTTATAGAGTTTCAATTAAAGAATAACAAAATAAGGCTTGAACATAAATTCCTTCAAAAGCTTTAAATGTGATTGTTGATTGAGTGTTCTTAGACTTAAAGCATGAGAGTAAATACATCAGTTTGGTCCGAGAGTATGACTAAATAATAAGGTATCAGAAAACACTGATCTTCATGTGTAGCCTCCCTCTAGAAGACGGTCAGACACCTGAACTGATGATTTCAACATTTAGTCAAAATCATCAGATCAACTGAAAAGATTATGCCTTTACGGGAGGTGCAAAGATATTGATGACCTAGAGTTTCATCCACCTAGAGTCAATTTTGTGTCCAAATTAGAAGCATGTTTTTAGATCAATAAAGGAAAGACAGCAAAACAGATTGATTGATTGATTGAAAGACCATCAGCAAAAAATTCTCACATACAATATAAGTAACCTACACATTATTTTGAAACCCCCTCTGCAGCACTACAAATGCCTCTCTGGAGACTGTGTTGCATTAATCCTTTTTCTTTTGTCCAGAAATCCGACTTTTACAGTCAATTCTTCTCAAGTGTGGAGGAATAGTGCAGCACTGTTGTTGCTGCACTATGTTACTGCCATTTACAGTTGAAGAGCACGACCCCCCCTCTAATGGTGTCACCTGTGGTCTGCAGGAGCAGAGCCATGTGTTCCTCCTCCGTGCTTAATGGACGATGCTCAGAGGTGTTAAACTGCTTTAATGACGGTGGGCCTGTCGGTCTCAAAGTAAATCCCCCATTCAATCCGGAACTGCATCACCTACTCTGAATGCAACCCTGGACCTGTGCTCAGGCCTGTCAGAGAGGATGTGTGTGTGTATTTGTGTGTGTGTGTATTTGTGTGTGTGTGTGTGTGTGTGTTTGTGTTTGCCACTTCCTCGTTCATTGTTCTCTCTCTTGAGTGTGTGTACGTGCACAGATTTATGCATGTTAACTTGCTACCTGCTCGTTGTGCTATTGATTTTGCTTTTGTGTGTGCATGTTGGTGTGTGTGTGTGTGTGTGTGTGTGTGTGTGTGTGTGTGTGTGTGTGTGTCTGTGACATTTCCTCGTTTGGTGTGGTACTGACTGAAATCTTATTGAAAAACAACCCTTCTGTACAAGCCAAGCAGGGAAGCCCTTTACAACTTTTTTGTTCTCTCTGAGTCACTCATTTCAATTGTTACGTTTATATGTCTGCAACATAAATACACACACAAACACACGTGCACACACACACACACACACACACACACACACACAATTTTGCATGCAGTAGAATGGAGAGGACGAGAAAGAAAGGTCATATGAGACACTTTGTCATTGCTCAGAGGTCGGAAAAGGAGACAGGTGTCTGCATGTATGTATGTGTGTGTGTGTGTGTGTGTGTGTGTGTGTGTGTGTGTGTGTGTGTGTGTGTGTGTGTGTGTGTGTGTGTGTGTGTGTGTGTGTGTGTGTGTAGTCAGAAGGGGATTGAAGATGCAGCTGCGTCCCTGTGGTTCACCTTTAAAGACTACTCTCGCCTGTTTCTGTGCTTTAATACACAGCAGCAGACAGGACGACCTCCTCTGTGCTCTGTCTGCTGCACGGTTATAAAGAGGGACGACAATAAAAGCTTTTATAATTACATCTGATTAATGTTTCTGTCCTCAGCATTTCACTGCTCAGGGATAAAAAGTGACAGGGGCGTCAAAGTGACATTTTAACAGAGACTTGTCTGTAGTCAGAGGCTGAAGACATCAGACACATGATTGTCTTTAGAGCTGAAAGAAAGACTGGATAGTTTAAAAAAAATGCTGAGTATTTCTTCTTTGTGTAAACACAATGACACCAGAACATCTTTCTTTTAGATTGACAGAGAACACCTGGGAGCTCTTTGTAATATGTTACATTGGGAAGTAATCAGCAGATTAACAGAAAAAAAAATTGATGACTGTTCCTTTAAAGGTTAAGAACCTTTAAAAAAACTCAAAATCGAAATACTCACGTCCACAATATTTTAACTAAAAAGAAACAAAGAAGCACCTATGATTAATCTTTAGGGACGTATTAGCAGATGTAGAGACTCGACATTAGATGTCTGAATATTTCTGTTTTGTCTGAATGATGCCTTACAACGATTTCAAAGACTGGTTGGATAAAGCCCCAGATTTCCGTTAAAATACACAGTGGATGTTATACATGTTTAATCTTACTTCTTGACTTCTGCCAGCAGAGGGCAGTGTTAAATGATTTATTGGCTCAGCGCATGTTTCCTGCATCCTGCTGTGATGAAATGTGCACATCAGGCAAATGTTGTTAAACCTCAAATGACTGCAAAATGAAATGTAAAAGAGTGCAACTGCTGAGAATAAACATGCAAAACCCATTTTAATATTTGTATAAACATTCAGGGTGCGTGTATGTGTGGGTTGCTGTTTGTGTCCGTGTGTTTGATCATCATTTCTGATCATTTTCAGGGAGGATATGTTATTTTCCCAGACTGCATCACACAGCAGGGGGACTGTGGGCTGCGTATACAGGATATCCACAGACCCTCACCTTTCATCTGCAGGGCTGTAGCCCGGGGTGAGGATTAACTCAGAGGCAGAGAGGCGAGACAGTGATGGGGTCTTTTCCCTTCAAGTAAGGAGCAGTAAGGGGGGAAAAGATATGGAGGCAAAAAAATAAAAAACAGCACAGAAGAGAGGAGAGGGAGGAGGGGGAAAAGGAATAGAAAAATTGTGAAAGTAGGAGGAGAGTGAGAGGAAGATGAGGAAGGATGAAAGCTAAGCTGAGAGGGGGTTCAGACAGAGAGTGGAGGTGAAGGTGGAAGTGTGAATCAGAGTTCAACCAGAAGAGTATTTAGTAAATATTGTTTGACTTTTACACATTATCCTATCATATTCTTGCAGCAGTTTTTTTCTGAAAGTTCATTCAAAAATAACAAGAAAAACAACAACAACAACAGGTTGATGCTCATTCGACAGCTTACAAGCGCTCTTTCTAAAAAGTCATATCTGGCAGCTCCAGACGAGGAAAGTCTTGCACGTGCTCCTCTCGCATGTCACTACAACGGTGTGTCCCCGTCAGCTCGACTGAGCGGAGAGACAGATCATGAGATGAACTTATGACCCCTACCTGATCCTGTGCAGGTATACAGCTACTCTAAACCTGTGATATTTAACATTTTAAAGAGCCCAGGGGAACCACACTGTCAGGATAAACTGTTTATCTAAAAGATTCCGAAACAGTTAGTGCAAAGAAAGATTCAGAAGTATTTAAATAAAATAGAGAATAGGGTGTGATAAAAAAAAACAAAAACAAAAAAAACACACCTCCCGGCATTGTAAAGGAGAACTACTAATGCAGTCTAACAGTTATGGTATTTTCACATGTACAAATTATCAGGGTGAGCTGCATGAGTGAACACATTTTACAATCAATTTCTTTAAATGAAAAATCCTTTAAAAAAAATCAATAAATGGGATTAGCTACTTCTGATGGTCAGTTTACACAGCAGCCTCTGCTTCAGTGTGTGAATAGATGGTAAATCAAATGGACTTGTGTCGCGCTTTTCTTGTCTTCCATCTACTCAAAGCTCTTTCACACCGCAGGTCACACCTACACATTCACACACTGATGGTAGAGGCTGCTGTGTTAAGTGACCATCAGAAGTAACTAATACATCCATACACTCCCACTGAAGCAGCTGGAGCAATTCAGGGTTAAGTGTCTTGCTCAAGGACACAATCAGACATGTTGCTGCAGGAGTTGGGGATTGAACCCCCAATCTCCTGGTTAAGAGACGACCAGCTCTATCAACTGAGCCACAGCTATAATAGCTCATAATGCTATAACAACCCGCTCAGTATACATTATCCTCATTCTCTTACTCTAAATAAACCACACATATCAACACAGGGTATTATCAACATGTTCCAGAGGAAGTATTAGGCGTTACTCCACTTGTATTAATAAAGCTGACTTCTCCATCTCCTCCCCCTTCACACTTTATCACTTCCTCATAAACACTTTAAACAAATGTCTGACACATACCTAACAGAGACTGTGTGCCTGTTACTTACTGCCTGTGATCTCAAACAGCACTTTGTCATTGAGGCCCAGTCTGAGTTCAGGCATCCCCGACAGGACCACTTTGAGCTTGATGGTGCCGACTATCTCACTCCGCAGGACGCTGCCATTTGCACTCACCTACAGACGGATAGAGACATGACAGAAATCCATTATTACTCATTTCTGTTTCGGGTAGTGTTGTAGTCAAGACCACACTGACCGAGATCAAGACATACGCGAGACAAGCGTGCGCTCAGACCAGGATGCTTTGCAAAAAATGCTTTGATTCCAAGAAGAGCCTTCAAAAAGTGACTGATTTCCAACATGATGCAGCACTTAATCGACACCACTCATAGTCTCACAGTCATAATTTGTCTCCAGTCTCATTTTGTAAAACAAATAGTGAGAGAATTATATCATGAGTTGAGTGAATCATTACATCCGTATGTACAACAAAACTAGTTTTGGGTTCAGCATTGTGTTCACATCAAATTATCTTATTAGCTGTGATAGCAGCCTTACAGTCAAATCATGTGTCTGGAAGTAAACAAGCTTTCGATTGAAATGTGCACTTAATGGAGTACGGATACAGTAAGACTGTTCATAAACTGTCAGAGGAAAACAACCGTATCACATACAAAGATAAAGCATTGAGCAGATACAAACACACAGAAAGACAAGACCGAACTGCTCTCAGCATGCAGTGAGTAAAGACTCGATGACTAAGAGCATGAAGACTCCTGAAGTCTGAAGTCACAGAAAAGGAAATGACAACTGTAGCTCGTATTCAGCTTTAGCCGTGTGGTTTTATCAGTATAGATTGTTTTCACTATGACTCATACGATATGTGTAAAGACGTCTTTGAGGTGCTTTTTTCAAGGGCTTCAGAGAAAGGTTGATTCTCTTTCTTTTAGTTGAAAACAAGCAGCATGTTCATGTCTTCTTATCGTCTCCTCTTCTAAAGTGACAGGACAACTTAGATGTGTCTGCCTTCCTCATTTTAAAGGGATTTACCAAAGAGCCTCCTCATCCTCACTTTAAAGCTGTGATTGTGATGTTTACACGGTATGTGGTATAGCTTGCTACTTCTAGGTCTTTGGGATACAACAAAAAAAAATACACCATCAACCTCCATCCCCTGTCTCTCTCTGACTCTAAGCTTGAACGCTGACAAAGCAAACGTTTGTTTTTTTTCTCACCAGCAGATTAACTGACTCAATGACGTCCATGAAAACTTCGTTCTTCCTGTACTTGATGCCCTCCGATCGCCAGGACACGGCATTGGTGACGGTGGCAGGAGGTCGAGGCGCCCCGACTTCTAATTTATGACCCTGCTGGGTGATGTATCTGAAAGAGACAGAGGAAAAACAAATAAAAAATCTTATACACTTCAAGTTGTCTGTGACGTTCATATATCAGGGTGATTTTAATTTCACATTTTGGATAAATATGTCAACAACCAGCTGAAATGTTTCAGTGAGTAATTTGAAGTAATCCAAAAAGCAAATGGCAACAAACAGTTTTGTTTATTTCTTGCAACATGAACTCAATCTCTCTTGAGGAATGTTTACTTTCTTCTTTATATCTTGTATTAATCATCCCTCATGACTTCACATAAATGAGCTTTTCAAGTGAGAATACATGACAGCAGCCTGCTGTTCATGGTGTATGAAGATTATTCATGGATGTAATTGGAAATGGAGATTTACATAAACCCACTGTGACTGCAGCCACAGATAATATTGTGACTGAAATGCGGTTGTTTATATGATAACAACAACAATAAGGATTACAGGACAAAGTAAAAGCTGCATCAAGTGTCCTGAAGAGTTAATCTGAGATGATAGAACAGCTTAAGTGGGTTTGAATTCTTCTGAAGATTTGAACCTTCAGAGGAAATCTTTTACTCAATTAGTTCATTGAGGAAAATCCACCCACTGATCCCTGATCCATCTACAGATCTTTGATCCAATCATTTATCCCTTATCCATCCATGGGTATCTGGTCCATCCATTTATCTGTGATCCATCCATGTATACCTGATCAATCTACTGATCCCTCATCAATCTACTGATCCCTGATCCATCTACTGATCCATCTACTGATCAATCTACTGATCATCTACTGATCCTGATCCATCTACTGATCCTGATCCATCTACTGATCCCTGATCCATCTACTGATCCCTGATCCATCCACTGACCCCCTCCTTCACTGCAACCCTGTCTGCTTGTTACTTCACTTGAGAGCTGGAGAGCCAGTTTGTTTCAACAATCCACAAACACTGTCTTGGGAGACATAATGACTTGTCAGGAGAATAGAAGAGAGCCCGGATAAACATCATGTGACCAAGCCTGTTTCTAACCAAACACCTGCACCCCCCCCCCCCCTTGCCCGCCACTGTTTACTTCCCACTGGCCTCATTTCCACTGAAGAGCTGTCGTCTATTTTATCCCAACAATATTCCTGAAATACAACTCCCAAAACAGTGAATCCAGTCTTGGAGGACTATAATGTACAACTTAAGAATAAATTTAAAAAGTATTTCAGTTTGACTTTAGTTTGCTTTATATGGCTCATAAACTGGTTGGAAATGTACGACATGGACACACACAGCATATTAAATGTACTCGAAGCCCATGATTTCTTCATTAAACTGTCATTTTAAACAGCCAGAAGTCAGTATGAAGGACTCCACCATGATTTGCACAGGAACTTGGAAGCATTTCATCTAAACAAATAGAGCTTTAGACACTCTGTCAAACAAATCCTTGACCCACTTTGGCAAAGTGGCTAATATTCACAAAAGGAAAGGATACAGATGTTTTGCAGCCCTGCGCCTAAAATCTGTTTCTAGTCAACTATCGATGGCCATTTCTTTTCTATACTGCTAACATACAAATAAAGGTGTCAGATTTGCAGTATTCAAAATCAATCTCTCTTCTCCTCCCTCTCTGCACATGCTCCTGACTTTTCCTCTCCTTACTTTCCTTCTCTCCTGTTTTCAGCTGTCACTCCCTATTTCCCCTGGATTCAATGACTTATTGACCCAATGTTCCTCATGAATCCTCAGGCTGCTCTGAAGGAGAAAAAGAAAAGTGCAGAGCCAGCAGCAGGAGAAAATAAGAAATATACAGTAATAGGAAATTTCCATCACTGACAGTTCAATATTTTGGTGAGTTAATGTACCAGAGCTGACACTGTGTTGTTACAGACAAGGTGCACGGCCCGGGCTCGGCTATCTCATTTTAGCAGAAACGTTTTACAACAATTGTCATGTGGCTGTCCAAGGAGTTTGTGTATATGCACGGTCTAAACATTACTAAATAAAGACCCAGGGACGGTATGTGTGTGTTCCATATGCAGTTTCTAATTTGAGAGGTGGACTGTATGTTCGGTATTCATGCAAGAGTTGAACAGTGAGAGTTCTAACAACATGTCTGCCTTCCTCCAGACTCAATTTCAGATTGTTTCTGGCTTTGTATAGTCAAAAACCTCCCGGGTTAAAATGTGAAGCTGATGAGCAGGTTACAAACTTTTCCCTGTAAGAATTCCTAACGTTCAAAGTTTTACCTTAAAGTATTTGAGACATTTTACTGTCAGAAGTAGACAACATAATTGCGGACAGTAAACGTCAATAAATGATGATCCTTTGTTTGTATGCAAACAAGCTTCATGCCAACCAGCATTAGGGGGGCCCTAAGTCTGCGCTCTTGCTCTCAACACGCTTGCAAGCATGTCACATGTCACATAACTTTGGCTAGCAGCAGGACACAGGGCTCTAATAATGGGACAGAGTAGGTGAGGAGTGAAGGACAGGGAACTTAACTTTCATGCAGGTGAAAGTCAGACAACTTCTCACAGATTACATTCTTTCCTTCATGGATTTCCTCCACAGTGACAGACACATCTTCTGCTGAGAGAGTCTGAATCTGTCAAAGCGTTTCTATCTGAGACGAACTAAAAAACAAACATGGAAAAAGCAGAAGACAGGGCTGAAAGTTCCTGTTTGGTCTGATCGTCTCTATATTGCCGTAAACGCACAAACATATGGAAGCGATTAGTGATCAAAATTCAAATGATAAAGCTAATTGGAAAATTCAAATGCATGAACAGAAATGCTTTTTAATTATTTATTTTTTTAACGTCACTTTCCTGCGCCGTCCACTTTGCAATTTCGTTTTCGAGTTGGTCTGAATTATGATCACTTTTTAGCACGGCAAGTTTGAAAAGGAAAAGCCAAAGACCTTTTAGTTTTCATTTGAATGATGTCATACAATATGCATACACAGAGAGTAAAAGTATAATGCAAACTGGATGACTGAATATTCATTTTAAATATAGGTCAAATAAAGCTCCTATATTCTGAAAATTAAAAAGTGTTTCTGTTACTGTATTTTCATTTTAAAATTAGATTTTTCATTTGAATTATGATACAGATTTGCGGGGCATTTTTAGAAAATGATAAAGCAAATCTAATTTTCTTCCTCATTTTAATTTAGTCAAAGAATGTGCATTTTTGAAGTTGAAAACTAAAATTCAAATTAGATAAATGAATCATCATTTTATTTTTGAGTCAAATAATACACTCATATTCTAAAAATTAAAAAGCATTTCTGTTAATGCATTTGAATTTTCAAATTAGCTTTATCATTTGAATTCTGATCACTAATCGCTTCCATACAAACAGACTGTTTCTGTTGAGACAAGCTTATAAACAGACGGTGCAGTGTGCCTCTCTCTCTCTCTCTCTCTCTCTCTCTCTCTCATTAAAATTCAATGTAGATCACCCATCGACGATCTCTCCCTCCCTCCCTCTCTCCGCTATACATAAACCAATAATAATCCATCAAGATCATCAAAAAGAGGGGGTTTCTTAAACACATCCAAATCACAGTGCTGTAAAAAATTGATGTTTTGATCTACAACATCCATTGCATGTTTACACTTTAAGATCAGCGTGCTTTATTCACGGGTGTCGATAAAAAGAGGCTATGAACAGTTGGCAGGTGAACAAAAGCTGTACCAGTATCGTAAACGTTTCACAGATATTTATTTTAAAAAAGCAAACAGAATAGGGTTTAAGAAAAGGAGACAGTTGTTACTTCTTCAGGTAAGAGGCTCAGGCAAGATTCATATCCCGCCGCTGCGCCTGAGACAAACCATAAAGGAGATGTGTGATTGTTTCAAAGACGAAAAAAACTCGCCCTCGGCAGGAACACGCGAGCAGAGCAGAGACGAAGCTCACTGCTCAGGACAGTAAAATGCTCAGGACAGTAAAATGCTCAGGACAGTAAAAATGCATAAAAGGCGTTCATGCTCTTCTTAAATAAAAGAAGGGCTCATTAATGATGTAAATTGCATAAATAAAGTGGTGGGCCGCTGCTCCAAATGAATGGGGAAACACTGTACTTGGACTTAAAAGGAAAACTGGAACATTTCAAAAGTTCTCGTCCTGCACCATTTGATTTTTGAATTTAAAAAGGATCCCTAAAGACATTAATCATATTAGGGCTTATTACAGTAAGACAGGTGAGGATCTGTAAGGTGCCTCCTCAGCTCCTTCCAGTTACAAAACAAGGATTCAAACCTGAAGTCTACAACCAACGAGTGGCTACATACAGTTTTATATTCACAGTGTTTAACCAAAGCCTACTGAACGACAGAACACAGAAAAAAAAAACTGTGGGTATTGTTCTCATTTCAAATTTACAGTACTCCAAGAAAAGCATTAAATAAACAGGTTTTGAATTGATTGACAGATTGAGGGGGATCTCATTTTCTGCCCCAGTTCCTCCCACTTAGAGAATCTTGAATGCATGTTGACAGAGTGCAAAAAGCTGAAAGTGCTGAAAGATAAAAAAGGCAGCAACAAGTGGGTTTGTGGGGTCGACTTTGGTTTGTTATGGTTGCTTTGCCGTTTGTTCTGTTTTGCCCTGATTCTCCTCAGAAATGCTAATGAAAGCCTGTGGAAGAGGAGGTTGGCAGCAAACTGACAGATTAGCATAACAATGGCAATCATAACAAACACACACACACACCCACACACACATGAAAGTTCATACTAAGATTGCATGCATGAACATATTTACATGCCTCCATGTAGCCTAGTCTCCTTGGCTGAGTGTTATGCACCACCCTCACACAGACTTACACATTTTACCATATTTGACAGATAATTCCACCTGCTACTTTGGGTGTGTATAAGAAAAAATGGATTTGGGTTGGACGAGGGCATGATAAGTCCAGAGAACTAGAACAGCATACTGACAGAAACCCTCAGTGTGGGTATGTGAGAGGAGAGGAGAGGAGAGGAGAGGAGAGGAGAGGGGAGGGGAGGAGAGGAGAGGAGAGAGGAGAGGAGAGGAGAGGAGAGAGGAGAGGAGAGGAGAGGAGAGGAGAGAGGGGAAGGGAGAGGAGAGGTTTTCTGTCTCAGAGTCTCAAGTGTGTCCAGCTGACTGTGTTATTGTGTATGAGTGCCAATGGGAGCCTGGTAATTATCAGTCCTATTCAGACACCATACACACTCACTATACTGTACACATGACATACACACACACTCACACTTGCACTGCAGCCAAGCCTCGGTGCACAAATAGCATGCAAAATTAAACATTAGTCACGTACAACCAATGACATTTCAGACACAAAAGTGTAAACAATGCACAATGCAAACATTTGCATTTCAATTCTAAGTTCACTCCTTATGTGTTTAGCCTGAACTCATGCAACCGCGGTGCTGTTAAAGTCAAGTCCTTCCCTCGTAAGCCAATACTTCTCTGAGCAGCAACTAGGAGTGTACGTAATGTGACACTAAACATTTGTCGAGCTAAAGAACTGTATTTGATTTAGTCGATTTCACTCTCTGAATAAAGCTTCACCGTTCATCACAGCTGCACTTTAACCAGCTGTTTCTGTTGAATGAACACATACACTTCAGACAGATCATCATTCTTACCTCCATCCCTGCTGGCCACTTAAATACAAAGCTGTTATCACACTAGAAAAACAGGTACAACTTGAGCTAATATGGATCCATTAAAATCAGACTGACGTGTACAAACTGCAGCCTTTTTGAGGTTCACACTTTAACCGTCAACCTTCATAAGCATGATAAGAGGCTGTGTCTAGCCCTACCCTCAGACCGTTTTTTTTGCACTGGCAGCACCCATTGTTAATACAAAAACCAAAGCAATTCAGAATTTTCAGTCACACTCAGCTTAAGCTGTATATTGTCGCTCCGCTCGCAGCACTCGGTTGAAAACAGTTCAACTTCTGGAAAAGCCCAGAGCTTGTCAATGTCACTTTCCCCTCACCGACAAATAAAATAATCAAGAAGGGGCGGGGCTTCTGATAATGGCAGAGGAGAAACTCATCAGACTCGTCTTTTAGGGGGTGCAATTTTTAGCTTTTAGTCATGTGACCAGTACAGAGGGCTGGAGGATTAAAAGCGTTGAGGAAAGCAGTGGTCACCATTAAAAACATTTTCCAGCTGCAGCACAGGCAATTTCATTTTCCATCTCCTCAAAACAACACATGTTGACATCAACTGACAACTGTAGTAGGCACTTGCAACCCTTATATAGCAAACAGGACATTATTAGATCACTAGAAACGACAAGTTCTCGCATGTGTTATGGTTTAAAGATTAATCATATTAGCTGACGACTTTCAGCCGAACACATCTGCGGTTGTCGGACGGAAAGTGTCCTAACAAATGTCTCTATACTTAGTTTTCCAGTAAAGACAAAGCCTGTCTAGTAAGTATTTTTGACATTATACCAAAAACATTCTTCCCCACCGGGTGGGAGGAATGTCCATAAGCATGTGACATCACGGGAAAGCTATGAATTCTAGGTCTAGAGCTGTGCTGCGTATGCCAGGACAGAATTCATTCAATTGTTTTGATGTTTTCTTGGTGATATTTCCTTGAATAAAGGAAGAAATTAAGCACACAGAGGTACTAAAATCATACCTTACAGTCACTACTGAGGTAGGAAGTTACATCCTGTAACCTAGCAACAATGATCGCTGGTGAGAAGCACTCCGAAACTGAGATCGTGGGCGCTGCCAGCACAAAAAGCTCCGTCGATGGACACAGGCCATTAACGTAATTAATCCACGTTGTGTCAAATAGGAACATTTTTGTTGTTGTCACTTTTAGAAAAATCCGCTCTAGGTTACTTTCTCCTCTTTTAAATAAGCCTCTCATTTTATCATTCCTCACAGAAAACACACAGACACAGAGATCCTTGTTGTTATTAGCACTGTAACTGGTTGTGTGATAGCTCTCTTACTCTTTAAGGATTTTGCTGTCGGTTGTCTGAGGGAAGCCAAAGTCCATCACTTCGTCCATCAGCTCGTAGACAGTCACAAAGTTGTCCCGGATACTCTCCTCCTCCAGCTCCTTGAAGTACTCCTTGAATACCTGCAGACACAACAAGCAGACACAGTTCAGATTGCTTACAGCTCATTATTCTACATAAGATAACAGCATGGTTTGTCTTAAATTTGATGTTTTGCATGTGGTGTTGAGAAAGAAGGTCAAAATATATTCTGTCTTCTAATAGATTAGTTTGTTTGTTCAAGTCATAGTAAATATAAAACGGTTTGCTTTGTTTAGAAACAAAGACACAGCATTGGGCAGATACATGCAGGGAAGAAACAGCCAATAAAAAAGGAGGTGTAGATGCCTGTGATGTTTAAAGTTTCCATTGGCTCCCTGTCCCCTACTGTATCCAATTCAAAATCCTGCTCCACACTCACAAAGCCCTCAACCACCAGGCCCCCCTCCTCCCTCACTGACCTCCTCCACCGTCACCCCCCTCCACATAGCCTCCATTCCTCCCACACAAACCTCCCGTCTCCACCATTCAGGACCAAGCACCGAAGCCCGTGGAGACAGAGCCTTCTCCATAGCTGCCCCATCCCTCAAGAGCTCACCACCCCAAACCTATTTGACCCATCATTACTCAACAAGTGTGATTGTGGAGTGTGTTTTTATACTTTGTAGAAATGAAAGTCTGGACTTGTATTCCAGGAATCAGACTCACCTGTACTATTTTATAAAGAAAGGAGTACACCAGAGCAGCGTTGGCATTCTTCTTGGTCATGGCCACCACTGGAATAAAAGCACTGTTAAGAAACAACTGTACATCAGCGAGCAGCAGACACGCTATCTGAGAGGAAAAACATGCACATTTTTATGAGCCAGAAATGCTTAAATGAGATGGAGAAGATCTTTTATATTCTGCGGGTGGTTCTGAGATGAATGCAATGACATAAAAAGTTAGCAGGGTGCATCACGCTCGCAAGCAATTGAGAACATGGCCACAGGGAGGTAAAGCAGCTCCGTTGTCTAATGCAGCGCTCTGGGAATAGCACTTTCTCACAACTGGTAATATCATGCTGAATTAATAATGTGTGAGGAAGTTTGACTGCCCGATTTCACATTAAGAAAAGAGGATGTGAAGTGAATAACACATCCCAGCGAATCTGTGCTCAATGTTTCAACTGGCTGTGGAACGTCATGAAGCCGAGAAACGGAGGGTTCAGATCTACTTCAAATCTATGCTACGCTGTACCAAACTATACCACGGTAAATCTGTGATTTAAAAAAAGATCCGTCATTCAGTGTAGTGCCTTCACGTTTAGTTTAGAAAATCCGGACATTAACTGAGAAGGATACAGTAGAGGTTGCTGTGTTTGATCCACAGAAAGTGTGCGGATCCATGCGTGACCAGAGGCGTCATCTCTGCCTCCTCTTCTCTCTTCATCAGGATCGGCATAAAGTGGTCGATCTCATTCATGTCCATGTTCCCCATGTAGTTACGGCAGATTAGCACCTGGAAAAGAATAGGGGAAAAAAAATAGAGATTTTTATAGAGCCGAATCCTGAGGCATTAAATATTTAAAGATCTTGGCTGAGATACCAAATCGGAGCACTCAAGCTTAAAGATGGTTCAGGAACCGATGGCCGACTCTGAACCTAAACTCATGGATGGAGATGACACCATTTTCAGGTTCATGTCGCAGCCGGGGAAGTGTGCAAACGGTGTTTCTAACCTAAATATCTCATGATGGAGCTTGAGATGAAAAAGGAGCTTATGCTGATTTTAGCAACATGACAGATTCTTTGGTTTTAAACAAAAGCAAACTCTCTTACTGATAAAATATTTATATGCAACTTTATATTCATTCGATATTGTATTCTAAAGTATTTTTGTTTAGTGCCTATAACACATCAAATAGGTTCATATATTTCAGCTGTACATGTAGTATGGCTCCATCACTTTGGTTCAGATTGTAATTGTGAAGCTGCATTCACCTCGTTACTGTGTGAACACATGGAGGAGTTATAAAAAATGCACTTTATTTAGCCCTAAAGGAACACCACACCTTCTAATATTAAAAGAAATACACACACACAAGCACACACACACACACACACGCACACACACACACACAAGCGTAGACAAAACGAGATGAGTCAGCGTTCTTACTGGAGTCTGGACACAGAGTGAAGTAAAGAAAGAGATCAAAGCGTCTACGCTTGAGGGACCTCGGCGACACACACACACACACACACACACACACACACACACACACACACACACACACACACACACACACACACACACACACACACACACACACACACACACACACACACAGACACACACACACACACACACACCACACACACACACACACACACACACACACACACACACACACACACACACACACACAGGCACAAATCCCTCCCCCCCTCCCTCTCCCCTATTTTAATAGAGGAGTGTGTTGTGCAGGGGGTCACCCAGGGGCAGATACAACAAAGGCAGGAGGAAATAAGAAATAAAAACCAAAGGAAATGCCACTGCTCAGCTTCAGTGAGAGGAGAATAATAGCATGGAGCGAGAGGTCAGAGGTCACCAAAGAGAGAGAATGAAGTAAACAAATCTTTGTATCAAAGAGAACTGTAATAACCGATACTGAAGGCCCTTTGCGAAGTATCGAGGGACTCACTTCTAAGAGCTGGCAGCAAACTTTGGAGGAAAAACAAAAGCAAAAATGCGCCTCAGTTTAGTGTTGACACTAACAATACAGTATGGTTACCATCACAAAGCAAGAATTTTAAACGTTGATACATTACTAGTGAAAATCAAACAATATTAAAACATGTTCTGAAACCATTACAACAAAAACATAAGTCCAGGGCACCAAATATTTGGTCATTTCTTTGTTTATAATAACTAAAAAAGGCAAACTCCTGCACACTGTCTAAATAGAGTACAAAAACATTAAAAAGGTAGCCAAAGTACAATTTAGACAGTCACCTCCTTTTCTCTGTTTGTAAGAGATATAGCTCGAACTTTTACAACTTCATGAGACCCTAAATGGGCTTGAGAAATGCCAACAGATGGCAGCTGACAGGATAACAAAAGCTGGAGGTTCAATGCCACGTTCCTTTTTATAGTTCATGGTATTTCCAAAGTATTTATCTTCTCTCTTGGCTGCTTGCCATTATCTGCCTGACGCCGGGAGGATGTGACTGGAAGGAAATATTTACACAGATGTGTCACGAGTTTTATACAAGAACAGTAAAACTACAAATTTATGAAATAAGAAATGTTTGACTCTGATAAATAGATCTTAAGTTGCAGCACTTTTTTCAGTTGCACGACTGATTCACATAAAGGCAATAAAACGCTCTTCCACATTCATCACTAACTTTGAAGAGTCATGTGACCAGTACAGAGGGCTGGAGGGTTAAAAGCGTTGAGGAAAGCAGTGGCCACCATTAAAAACATTTTCCAGCTGCAGCACAGGCAATTTCATTTTCCATCTCCTCAAAACAACACATGTTGACATCAACTGACAACTGTAGTAGGCACTTGCAACCCTTATATAGCAAACAGGACACTATTAGATAGCTAGAAACGACAAGTTCTCGCATGTGTTATGGTTTAAAGATTAACCATATTAGCTGGCGACTTTCAGCCGAACACATCTGCGGTTGTCGGACGGAAAGTGTCATGAGTTTGCTGTGTTTCATCAACACAGCAAACTGTGAAAAAGCAAAACTCTGCGTGCATGTTGACGCCACTGCACTTACTGTTATAAAATAATGCTATAATCAAAATCAAAAAAAAATTTGACTCTCCACTAAATTGGCACCAAGTAATCCAATGGTAGCTGATAGCTACTTTTAACTTCACCTGACTGCATCAAAATGGTTTGAAGTGTGAGATATTTAAAACTCGAGCTTTTGATGTAATGTCTTGTTGTTTGAATGTGAGTCAGTTACACTCAGGTTGAAGAGGAAATCATCAGATAGTGTTGTGTACTCAGCAGAGGGGTGGGGGAGGGGGGGCATCAAACACAACACCTCACACAAACAGTTTGCATATTTGATGCCGCACAGCAGAAAGCAGCTGTTTAATAATCCAGTTCTCGTTAAATCTCCTGTGAGTGTGTTTCTGAGATGTTTGAAGACACATTCTGCTAAGTTGTATTGACATTTATGAACACTTACCGATACTACATCTCTTCATAGCAGACGTACAACCTTATCATTAATGACATTCATATATGACAGGTAGGCTGAGGGGCTTTCCATTTGCAAAGGTTAGCAGTGAAGGATTCAATACTTAAAAGAAAAAACAGAATGAGGAGGAATAAGAAACCGGGATGGAAAGAAAGCTGAAAGGAAATAAGAACTGAACTTGAAAACTGAGCACAGATAATGAAGAGATAAGATAGCTATTTGAAAAGGTGCACTGAAGAAACGCATTAAAAAGAGTACACTTAATTAACCATATTTTAAATACGTTTCCTCCTGCAGCAGTAGATACGTTTTCACTGTGGTTCTTGTTATATCAGCATCACTACTCCAGGGATTTACGAGAAAGCCATTATTAGGACTCACAGGGCAATCAGTGACCATTTACAATGTGTGAAATCAATTGGAACCACTGGCTGCTGAGCTGACCTCTAAACGTAAACTGCAACAAGAAAACCTTCACTGGGGTGGATCACGGGCACAAAGAAGCCTCGAAAGATATTGTCAGCTTGTATCACTCGTCAATGTTTTTGGGAAAACAGCACACATTTTAAAGCAGAAACTCCATTATCACCCTAAGAAAATGAGTGCAGAATACTGCTAACATTTTGGAGTGAAGGGGCTGCAGGGAGTCAACAATCCTTTACTTGTAGAGGACATCAAGGCACAATGAAGAATGCAAAAAGACGCCTCAGAGTTGGTCCATCAATTGCAGCCATTTAACATTGTGTGTGCTCACAGTGCCTCTTTTTAAAGCAGCCAGAGGTTCATTGTGGCCCGACATTCCCGACTGAACAAACTTTAAGTCAACAAGAACACCCAGAGCAGCTCTGTGAGGCGTCACAGAGGAACATCGATCAAATGTCAACGTTTCACGGGCACAGTGAAAATGCTATGAAGCTGTATTCACCATATTAGTTTAGTATGCTAAAAGACGCAAATGACCTTTTAACACAAACTACATATTAGGCTTGTACGAGTGTGATAGACGGTGTCATATTTGCTCATCATCCAAAGAATTGGACAAATTTAACATCTGAACTGAAGATGTAATCATCTGGATTTATCCTCTGGGGACCACAAACATCTGTACCAAAATCATCTGTACCAAATGTCATTGCAAATCATTTGACAGTTGTAAAGATATTGAAGCCCAGACAATAACCTGAAGAGTAGACATGAGTTGGATGAATTTTGGGGTGTCAGAAACGGGGGATGATGCCTGCATTATTTCTAATGACCAGCACAGGGAGCATCCACTGGTTGTAAAAATGTAGTAGATCTATTAATTCCATATATAGTTACCACTTTCCATTGAGTCTATGAAATGAGTCTACTTCTATACAGCATGATAAAAGGATTTACGTTGTGGTCCCAGTTTGAGTAAAACAGGACATATACACTGTGTGGCTGAATTTCAGCCTGATTGTGTGTCGTCAGTCGTGCAGTGTACGCCGAGGAACGACCGTCCAATCATGGCCCAGTCAGCTGCTCCCAACTGTTCCCATGATTTCCTGGCATGTTTGATATTTTGGTTGTGCGACTGCACACACACTCCAACAATTAGAGCAGAGCCACCAGCTGATTCCACTTCCACTGATTCAAGACTTTTTTTTTTTTCCCCCGATTATGTCCGCACAAAAAGTGACAGAAATCACCATGGCAACATCAGGCATTCCCGTTTAACTGTTTTCCGCATCCTATCAGGAAAGGCACGTTTGCAGGAAATATCTGCCGACCTCCAGCTGAGAGGGGAAGTTTGTTATGATTAAACTGCGGGTCAGCTTGTGTTTCATTGTGTGTGTGTGAGAGAGAGTGAGCGCCTCTCCCAGTGTGTGTGTTTGAGCCGTGCATATGAGACAACTGAAAGACACAAAGATCAGACTTAAACCTCCATCTTTGGGAGTTTTCTATCATCAACTGCAAATGCCCCGTCCCGAGTTAATTTGCACAGGGTGAACTCTTGAGTGATGCCTAACAATCGGGTCATTGTGTGAGCTGTACACCGGGCTTTAAACAGATAATGCAGCAGGGTATGCTTTTTTTCTTTGGCGGGTGGGGCTGTGATTGACAAGAATGTTGTAACAATATTAGACACTGTCAAGATAACTAAAGAATAACACAGAACTACGAGCTGCAGCTCCACCTAAAACACTTGTACGTGTCCAAAATGTTTAACCTTAAACTTCAATTCTTCTCGCTGATAAAAAAAAGGTGACTCATGACAACCCAAACCTCTGCTTGAACATCTTCTCTTTTAAAGAATTCTGTTTGGAAGCACTGGGAACAAATGATGCCATGCTGATTTCAATACTGTGACATTTCAGTCTACAGAGCAGGTCCCAGCAGCCAGCAGTGAAGGGTCGAGTGCCCAGGAGCTATAATTTAAAGGGGAAGGGGGGGGGGGGAGAAGGGCAGAGGAAGAAACTAGCTTCCTCAGTGGCTGTGTGTTTTCAACCGTGTCTAGATATGAGGGTGACCTAACCTTTTTGGTTGAAATCTTTGAGGGACTATTTTCATTTAATTACATTTTTTCCATCCGTTATTATAGAATACATTTTAAATTGCCGCTCCCCTTTACAGCCTTCACTGTTGTTGCAGAGGACAGAGGCCCTGGCCTGGTCAGGACCGACAGCAGGAGGGTGAGGAGGGGTGAGGAGGGGGACGGACTGGAGGTGAGAAGCTCCTGACTTGCCTCGGGGCAGAGACAGATAGATAAGGGGAGAGAGAAAGAGAAAACCTTTAATCTGAACAATCAGACATCCAGGCTATGAGGGACTGATCCCTCTCCCTGATGGGCACGGTCAGGCATATAAAGCCTCTTCAGCAATTTCTCCTCCTGCTCTCGGATAAATTAACCCTTTGAGGTTTGAATGTAGAAGCCGATGTGAAGAAAGAAATCTGTTAACCCTTTTACTCCATGCTCGTGCATACCTAAACATTCAAAGGCAATTTGGACTGATACAAAAATATGCCTGTTAAAATTGTAAATAAATGATGATTCTGTTGACTATTGAATAAACTGCAGATTTTCTCAACACACCTTATCGGGTATAAATGGCTGGAAATCTACCTGGAGAAATTTGCCCTTCCACGTGCCTTAAATGACTTTTCTTGTATGATCAACTGTCCCATCAACTCAATGGGTGGGCAAATTGAAGCAAATATGCAACAAAATTCACTGGCTCCAAGCACTCAAAAGTCAATATTTACATATTTTGTTAACTGTTGGAAGACCAATCTTTGCATTTTTTTACTGTTTTCCAAACATATAAAGAAACATTAAGACATTGGCCTGTGCTCTGACAACTTGTTAAGGACGATTTTGAATATTTTTTCATAGACAGACTGTTTTTATTCCCATCAGAATGAACTATTATCAGGTAAATTGGCAGCCATGAATATAGGCCTACATCTAAAAGAAGTAAAATATGAAATTTTAAAAGCATAAACCAGTCAAACTAACCGGTTATCAATTAAGTCAATTTAACATTCGACTTCTAATCGATTAATCGTTGTGCAGCTCTAGCTGTGTGCCTTCTTCATGATGGATTTTTTTAATCTTCATTTCAATCACGTCAGGTAACTTGTAGGAGAGGAAGAAGTGAGGGTTTAATCTTTCACATTGGGCACATCACACACAATAAGAGCTGCTTCGCTGCACAAGAACAAACCCGGTGTGTCACTGAACATCAGGGAAAAACGAGTTTGGCAAGTTGAGCTTCTCTTCTTACTACTACTCAGCCTTTACCAGACTGTTTTCTGCTAAAGCACACACATCTTTTACATACTTAAAACATTTACATACTGTGTCGTTATTGCACTTGACAGCTGACATACTCGTTTGTTGCAGCAGGTGCTTCGTTGATTTAAAAAAACAAAACAAAACAAAAAAAACACCCAGATGTCAACAAGTCGCCACAAACTTACCTTTCCTTCAGGTCGAGGATAAATATCGCCGACGCCGACATGTTTGGTGTAGAAAAATCCTCGAGAACAAGAACTATAGGCCTAGATAATATCTGGGTTTCCTCCTGGCAGATATGGGTCACTCAAAAGGGAATAATATTCGCTCCCATCATCCTCCTTCCTCCTCTCCCTCCGCGCTTCTCTCTCTCTCTCTCTCTCCGCGTTTCGCTGCAACTCGCTGCTGTCGCTTTTCCGGAGCATCAAGCTCACGGTTGTAACGGTTATGCCACCTCCGGTTGTAATGTGTTGGGATTTTTTTATTTCAATGACTTAATTTTAATCAATTTAAAAAAATGTTTATTCTATACTTGCGCTCAAGAATAGTAATAGTTATTTTATGAGTCTATATTTTATATGCTTTTTACGACACTGAATTTCACTTAATTTCATTTGTCTGTCTACTCGCCGTTATATTTGAATAGTTTCTGCTGATAACATGTCAACACACCTGCACTTTAACTTATGTGTCACTGATTGCGCATCTCTGGACTGCTCCCTATGTCAATCCTGTCCATTTACAACTCTGTTTTTGCACATTTACATTTATCTACAGCATTTAATATTTTCATATTTAATATCTAAGTTAAATCCTGGTTGTATATATTCACATTCTTAGTTTTGATATTTTTAGTGCTTATTTACTTTGTTTTAATATTATATTATGTTTAGATTTGCTAATATTGTGTTTTTTGCTAATATTGTGTGTTTGGATAACCTGCTGCTGTAACGCCACAATTTCCCAGTTTGGGATCAATGAAGTAATTCTATTCTATTCTATTATACCTGGGCCTACATGGACAAAAGCATTCAATTTTATTAAGCTCTGTTTCTGTATTTGTACAGCAAATCCTACACAACATTTTCCTTTGCAAATAATAAAGTTTAACTGCATTAATCTTGCCTTAATTTGCAGCCTTAACTTACTTTAAGAGCTATAAAATATTTTGATTGTGAAAAATCAAGGTTTTATAAGGTCTATATAAAAAGTCATATAGTTTTACCTTCACCAACTGCACCTTTCAAATACAGCTTAAACTGCAGGCTATGCCTTAAAAGTAGGCTACTTTTGGCGCTTTGGTGGCGCAGTGGTTGGTGCGTGCACCTCATTTGTGGAGGCTGTAGTCCTCGAAGCGGGCGGCCCAGGTTTGAATCTAGCTTGTGGCTCCTTTCCCGCATGTCGTTCATACTGTCTCTCCCTGATTTCCAGCTCTAGCCACTGTCCTATATCTCTATTAAAGGCACAAAAAGCCCAAAAATAAATCTTTAAAAGTAGGCTTCTTTAAATACATCAAGCACAATTTGTTGTACTCAAGGCTTCCATTAAAATATGATATTTTTAGCCTACTTGTAGGCCAGTTAATCACATGTTTTTTTTTTTATCCAAATGGCAACACGGACATATAAAATAACACTTGACTATAACATGATCCAAGGGACCGTCGCTTAATTTAACCTATATGAATAAATAAATAGCCTTTCTCAGTAATATGATCATACTTTAGTCTATACATGTCCTACTTGGGCCAAATGCAGAACTTGTAATGAAGTAGATAAACTTTAAATTGTGTAGTTTATATTTATTTTCTATATTATATAATTTTATTTAAGGGTATAATAATTTATATAATAATTTTCCTAATACCTGTAAATAAATGTTTATGGAAGTTTTGGTTAAGTTTGCAAAAGCCAATCATTTAAAATGATATGCTCTTATTTTGAAGGCTTAATCACTATCATTCCGGTTTTACTCTGTCTCGCCTATGTGAACTTGACGCGCTTGGTTTCCGGGTTAAGCAGCCTCGCCTGACAGCTTCACACAGACCTGTCAGACTGCTCTCATCAGCTGGACGGTCTCAGAGGATCTAAAGACGCCTCAGGCCTTTTGGCGAGGCACAGTGTCAGGCTTAATTTCTCCCGTTGGTACCAGAGTTGTAAAAGTTTGAAGAGACAGGTGAGTGGGATGATACCAGTTTGTGACCAATGAGGGAATCCAGACCAAAATGTGGACAGAGCCTGCACTGTAGTCCCCTGAACTTACAACCCCTGTTTGATTTAAAAAAATAGATTTGACCCATGTAAGTAAAGGTGACACTGTTTCTTTTGAATCAATGTCAAGCTGTTTTAATTTGACATGTTTTACAGTAGAGGTGCTGAATTCATGCACAGCCCCAATACAGTGGTGTTTCTCAAAATAGCAGTAAAGTAGAAAGTTATTACAAGTAGGCTAACGCTTTTACAATGAACAAGCCAGCCTACATTTTTCATGTAACTGTAGTCATACCTTTACTGAGGACAGTCTGTACTGTACTGTACTTTAAAACAGTAGAAATCACACTGATGTTGCAACAATACCATATCAAAAGATGGAAAGTAAAATGTGTGGGTAGTAAAGCTATTGATCTGTCTGTTGCAGAGCATCAATGTGTTGCTTAATACTCAGATTTTGACACTTTTCAAACATATTACACATCCATGCATACTGAAGTTAAACCTCATGTGACATTGACAAGACATGCAGCGTGCATAGTTGAAATGTTCATGTTTTGTGGTTATTTTTCCAAAAACATGCTGATATATTTTGCACGACCTGTGCAGTCAAATCAAGTTATCGTCAACCAGTCAACACAACCAACGACTGTCAACAGATGCAGAGTTGATTGTTTAACTGCTTTATTCATCCCAAGTGTTTTTTAGTCTTAGAAATAGATTTTTTTTTTTTTTTAAATGCTGATTCAGGTAAAAAAAAATCAACCGATTTTGACCCAGAACAAAAAAACATGTTGTGACTTTTACTGTTGTTTTACAAGTCTCTCACTGCATGACTAATATGATTTATCAATAGTTTAATCTACAACTCTCTATAATGGATCATCAGGCTGCACATTGACAGCTACTGCCTTTACAATGCACCTTGCAATCAGTCATTTATTGCAGGTGCTTTACATTCTTCAGCTTTCCCAAACTCAACCAATGCTCAACAAGTTCCCAGTTTAAGATCAATAATAGGAATAAGAAACAAAAAAGAATTATAGGGAGTGGAGCTGCAGTCCTCCTAAGCGATGGAAAACTCAATCTCATCCATCTCTTCCTCTGTGTCGTCTGTGTCCTCCATGTTCTCCGCCGCTCTCTCGGCCCTCGCCCTCTCGCTGGCCGGGATGTAGTTGTCCTCGATAAAGCCGTCGTCGTCCTCCTCGCTTACAGGGGGCAGGCAGTGAGGGTTTATTCCACGTCCATTCTGCATGGCAAACTCCACGTCCTGGCCTGGAAGCAGTGATAGAAACACAACAATGAATCAAATATAATGTTCCATGTGTATTCATTAAAAAAAAATAACTCACAACAGAAGCAGCTGTCACATTGTTGTTAAACTTGATGATGATTTTACATGAACTAACGACCAGATCTGTGTGATCACACAACATTTCACAGGAGATATTCTTCAAAATTTAATGATCACTTTTTTAATAAGCGTATAAATAAAAAGAAAGGAAAGAATCATTAACATCCAGTTAGCATTCAAAAATGTTAAGCTGAAAGACACCAAAATGCTTCTTAATGCTGAAGGAAACTGAAGTGATAAATCTCTGTTTGTTAATCAAGCAGCACCTTTCACATTATAGTCATTTTTTGTATCAAATATCGGTTATCGTAGCTTTTATCCCTTACTCTTTTCTCAATTCTAACATTCATTCAATAGAATACTTAGTATTTGACTAAATATTACAGTTTCACCAATGTTGTTCTGATATTAGAACTCGGTCAACACTGACTCAAATGGCTTGTTCAGGTTTCGGGCACCATCCTGAGCCAATCTATTCAATTCGAATCTATGTTTCTGTCTATGTGCATGTACGTGCAGCATGTGGGGTCGTGACACAATCATGCTTGAAGAAGGGAAGGAAGGAGTGAGCTAACCATCCCTGCATAGATGGAGGTCCAGGGCCAACATATCCTGTAGTTCCTTTCAAAATATGCAAAGCCATTGTTTCAAGGGTCCGCTGTGCAAAAGTGAACACAACCAAACAAGCAACAAACTAACCAACTAAACCATTTAAACTCTGGTGTTTGATATACTTAAAGCCCAGTACCGAGTTGCATCAGGCTATGTGTACGTTTAAATGCAGCCTTGTTTGAACGTAACTTCTAACTTGCGACAGAGTTAATGCACTAGTAACATATAAAGTGTTGCACCAGCTGAGATAGTTCCAACATACAAGTTATACAAGTTATCCAAGTTGCACAAGTTATAACTTAAAGGTCACGTATAATCCTCCTTTTCAACAAGTTTAAATACATCTCAGAGCTCCCCAGAACATGTCTGTCAAGTTTCTTGTGAAGAATCCACCCTGATCCTTTATTTGATCATGCCTATAAAGCCCTCTATTTCAGCCCTGTTCAGAACAAGCTGTTTCTGTGTCTGTACCTTTAAATGTGAACTGTTTTTGACCACGCCCCCTCTCTGGAAGGGGACAGGGCTCTGGCTTTCTTGCACCATGTCCAGTTCTTTACAATGAGAAGGCAGACTCAGAGGGGAGAGCAAATTCCTAGCTGTGGGAGTGTCACCCACCTGGGGGAGGGGTTACTGCCCTTTGTGATGTCATTAAGGGAAAATGTCCAAACGGCCTGTTTGAGCACACATTTTCTTAAAAGTGGAGCAAGCAAAAGACGACGAAGATGGACTTTTCTCAAAATTGTGGGGGGTTTGAAGACAGACTAGGAACACATATTAGCGTTCGAAAAAACATAGTCAAGTGTATTTTGCATTATATGTGACCTTTAAATCTTACATCTAGCTCCTGGGTATAAAGTCCTCTCTTAAATAAGGTTGTCATGGTGTATCGTTTTTTGAAAGTTGGGATAACTTGGAGGATAATTAGGAGCAGAGATTCTACCCGTGATAGATTACATCCCTCAGAAATGTATCATGACTTTTATTTGTAATCCTGCAGTTGTTTCCCATGAGCAAAAATATTTCCACCTCTCTAACAACAGAGTATCGTCAAATGACCCTATGTTTTGGTTGAAGATTTCACCACTCGATTATGTTATTTTACACTAGCTGTAGATTAAGATTGTAGCTGTTGTTATCACGATGCTCTGTAATACTGTATTCTGTTTGTGGATTAACAGCTGTTAATCCGTTAATCTGTTCAGAGACGATTAGGCACCAGAGACAGAG